GACTATACTGTTTGGGGAAACTACTGGATCAGATGACGCTTTTCACAGGGTCTTTGAATTCCGGTCTTCACCTACTTTTGAAATCTTCAACAGAAAAAGAGGATATATTAACAAAGCTAAACAAGGTATCAATGGGAATTATTGGTTTGAAGGCGTCAGCAGATATGCGACCTTCTCGTAAACTGTGAAAACAATGCCACCGCTCAAAACCAGCCTGCCTAACCGCATCGTGCTTCCGCTCCAGAATCCTCGCACTCCTCCCTTCAACAAGACCGACCGGAAAGCATCCTTTGTGCTCGCTCCTTGCGCACTCTGCGCTTGTGTTTTGATAGTGTCGAAAGGTTGTGTTGCATAGACGGTGATGACACCAGCGACAGCCCCCATACCAAAAGTAAGTGCGCTGTTCTGCTGGAGGTTTTGCCGCCGCGCGAACTCCTTCAGCACATTGTACGATCCCATGCGAACCGCAGAAGTAGCTGACTGTTTCGCAGTTGTAGACACCAGCCCTCGATATAGTCCAGCAATACCGTCGGTTTGTAGAATGACTCTCGAAGCGTGGAAGCCTCCATTGTAGCGTTGCCCGCCGCTCTTTGCGTTGTCGATCAGAGCAGTCTTGATGCGCTCTGTCGGTGTTACAGCAACAACACTCTCGACGGCGCCTGCCAACATGCCAGCCAGCATGCCGCGAGCTGGTGAGAGAACACCGCGTTCATCAGCAAGGCGGTTCCGGATGGAGTCGAAGGAGAGGAAGCGAACGCCAGCCTTGAAAGCAGTGCCTACGATCAACGTAGAGCAGCCAGTGTAGATGGCCCTTACACCATCCGTCTTGGCGACCTGAGAGAGAACGGTAAAGGGATTTTTTGAGCCGCCAGCGCCCACTTGGAGCTGTGCGCGTGTCTTGGCGAATTCAAACGGGTATGTTGCTGTGGCTTCAACACCTCCAGCGACAGCGCCAGAGAATAACGATACGATGGCAGTCGGGGTAGTTTTCTTGGGCGCTATCGCTCGAGATGGAGTGTTGAGGCTTGTGGAGGTTTGTTTCCGGTCAACCGGATGGGTAGCAATGGCTGCGCTCATGGTGGAAATCGTGCGGTAAGAGCAAACTGTGTGAATTGTGTAGACTGTGTAGACCGTGTAAACTTTTCCATTACTTCTACTTGGCTATCGAGATGGTATATACTACGGTAACTCGAACGCGTGTTGATCAATGTAGCACAGAGGTTTCAGAGGGCATCCGTAGGTACGAAGCGGGTACGGATTGCCGGAGTCGCAAAGTGCTGTTCCCGCGGGATTCCAAAAGGCACAAAGGGTCCGTTGGGTGGGTTCAGTTCAGCCCCGTCTCCCGTTTTCACATCGGAGCTGCAAACAGCGACGTGTTCGGTAAAACGGAACTTCTGGTCTTGCATACTGCATACTTGCTTCCAAGAACTCAGTTTCGACACCGCAACGCCAATATTCATCCCTCTTGCTTGGCGGTGCTTCGACCCATTTTTTTCTCCTCTTCGGGCCAACTAGAGCTCGAAATGTAGATAGTACCCTCAGCTCTATTCTCAAGGAGCCGCTTCATCACTTGGCTACAGGAAATGTGCTTGTTTCCCGGGAATTTTCCACCCACGTGGTGAACATGTGACCATACAGCAGAGATCCGACCGAATGGCTTCCGATTTCTGTCCCAATCCAGGTATACCTCCTGGTTTAGCCCTAACCCAAAATGGCCTTGGTACGGGAACCTGAGCATGAGGAGCGAGTTCGCTCAACAAGCCGTCGTTTACCCGCGGGAAGTCTTCTCTACCCGTTCGCTACCTAAATCTTGGCAACAAATAGTCTCCATCATTTTTTGACATCCCGCTCACGGCTATCAACAGTACACTACGATTTCTTGGCTTTCGTGACGGACTTGGCATTTTTCAACGACTAGGTGTCTAGGACCGGCAGTACATGCACATGGTAGCCGAAGGTCCACACCTCATACGATTAAAAATAAGGCAGGCCCACGTGCGTAGATGACAGGATGCAAGTGGGGATCAAGTTATTCAACAGGAAGGTATATGTAGAGTAAGCGACCAACTGATAAACCACATTCTGCATGTCAGCGCCAACAAGATGGTGTGGTTACTAGGAGAGTGCTCGTGTTGCTCAATTGATTATAGCATGCTCTACTGATAAGCTGCTAAGTATTGTCAAGCAGAGGTTTGAGCTAATCGAAAGCGCTGTCTCGACCACAGTGGCAAATCTACCATGACGTTTTCTCGTCATGATTTGGGTGGATTTGCCACTAGAATTACAATCTACTTAGCTTTGCATTGGCCAAGACAGCAACCTCCCTTCAATTGCGCCGAAATATATCTACTAGTGAGCTGTTGTTTCCAAGCAGGAATCTCAGCTAATCAAAAGCGCCATCTTGATCAGTGGCAAATCCACCGCAATATCTTCCGATCCTGATTTTGGTATATTCGCTTTGCAGATTTTGCATAGATGTGCCATTGATCGCTCGGAATCTCTGCGGCCGACCTGCGTACGCGCATTGGCTACCCTAGCTAGGGCTACGGGTGTCAAAATCTTGGTTTTTGATTCTTCTAGTAATGCGCAAACTTTATTCCCTCTTTGACACAAAATTGCTATTGGATCAGTTGTAAAAGCATTCAGATGCCTAAAGTACAAAATAATGGCCTGTGGTATCTTAAGCCGTGTTTATAACCCACAACAGTGAAACCCTTTAACACATGTATAGGAGAAGGTGATTTCTATCCGTGCTATTTTAGGAATTTTCTTGTTTCTCTAGCCTTCGTATACGCAGTGTCGACGTGGGGGCTGTTGTCTGCAAATTTTGACAGTGCGAAGATTATTTCTGCAAGCATACTTTCTGTACTACAATTCGGTTTGACCAAATATCACTGATACGATATTCTGAAGGTGCTAGAGTCAATAAAATACGTCCAAACCCTACACATGCCTTATGCAATATGTTCCAGTTCTAGCATCTTTCAGCTATGGGACACGTGTTTGGGTACAGGTGGGTTAACACACCGCGCCAGCTCATCAAAGATCAAGCCACAGTACTGATGTGCTTAGCGAAATGGACTTCCCTTCGAATAGAGTGGCAGCAAGCTGCGCGTTACACAGCAGGTGATCACAATAACCCCTACCTTCACAAACAAACATGGTATAAATAAGAGAAGTGGCGTTCGACTATAAAATATCTCATCTGTAATTTTAGCATGTATTCAGCCCGCTCATATCATCGGTCCATCAGATATCACCGGAAGGGAAGGCTGAAACATGATCAGTGGTAACTATTGCGCCTGCCTCTGGGGCAAAAAAAATGGTATATAACTTTTGAAGCAGCCAAAAATTGACATCCGTAAATGGGTTTTGGTGCTTTGACTTCTTCACTTATCTATCACATAAGGCTGTCTTGCTACACATTGTCGCCACTCTCTGGCAATTGCCAAAACCTACTTACATCTCATTTACAGGTACCAAATAAACGTGATCCAATTCCAACAATTTGACTAGCAGCAAATGGAGGCACTTTCTGCTGCAGCTAGCATCCTTGCAGTTATAGGTGCTGCTGAGAAAGTTGCAAAAGGGCTACAGCCTCTTCAGGACTTCATAGATGCTGAGCAAGACGTACAAGCCTGTTGCAACGAGATCTCCGCGCTAAGAGCGGTTTGTTCCCAGATTGATTACATTCGGCATGGATTGTCAAAAAAACCTGGGTCCCAGAATTACGTCATATCGATCTATTCCACGATCACACATTAATATGTTGTAAAAGTCCTCCAGCGAGATTCTTGAGCTACTCAATGCGAGTCTAATGAGTGTGCGAGCCTCACTGCTAAAGCTTGATACGGTTTTGCATTACCAGATTTTATCGCCTTCAGAATCGGGTGCAAGGCCCTTGCCACATCAACAGGTGCTGAAGCGCAATTGGTTGAAAGGAAAGAAGAAGGTAGAGCGATCTCGAAGAGAGATTCGACAAGCTCGAAGTAATATACTCGATGTTGTTGAACTCGCAGATATGTATGTTCGTGGTTGATCGTCACTTCAGAATTACGCTGACTCTTGTGATGCAATAACCAGTCAATGAGAATCGAATTCCGACTCACAGGACTGATGATGAGGTTCGATTCCATGTTATATACCCACGCAGAATCGCAAGACCAGATCTTCAGTGCGCTAAGCAACAACCACATCGCAATAGACGACCTTGGTAGAAAATTGGGAACACAAATCCAGGCAGTTGGCGATACACTAAGCGAGAGCATGGAGAGATCACTACAACAACATCAAAGGCCTATGATCAATAGTCAAGGACCTAGTGGAAATCTTCCCGGTACAGAAGAACCAGCGGTCATAGTTATGAGCTCACGTCCAGTCCGACCTCAGTCTAGCTCCTATCAAACGAATTGGTGTACATGTGTATTCTGACTGCGACTATGGTCTATAGTGCACGCGATTCAATCGACATTTATCGGCTCTGGGCACCACGAATCGTTACTACTGAGGCCCATATATTTACAATGGCTCAAACAGGCAGTGTGGAAGGTATCAGATCACTATTCACGGAGAATCGGGCATCACCATTCGACGTCGATCTTCTCGGCTTCTCGGCTTTGTGGTTTGTACTAGATACGCCAACACCGCGTATGATAGAGTTGTGCAAGCTTATGTTGTCGGAGGGTGCTGATCCATATGAGCATGTGGTCGAAAGGTTTGGACGTTAAACCTACTTCCAAGTGGAGCTTCTATTTGATCAGATTGGTTGACAATGATCTAGATCTGAATATTTATCACCCTTCGAGACCGCCTGAGAGCTAATATTTGGCAAAGTCGTGGATGACAATGTAGCGCAGACGCTGAAATCGATGTTCGACGACCTGGACCGACTGAACGAGCTTTACTTTACAAACCTTCATCAACGGATTCTTGGACTTTCAGTCTGTGAAATCGAGCATGTGGACGAGATGGCCGAACACAACATAAATGCTATCGACGCCATGGGGCGAACGCCTCTGCACTGGGCTGTAGTGCGCAATGACATCGCTAACGTTCGTCGTCTTCTAGACCGTGGTGCTGATCCAAACAAAGCTGCTGAGCGCTCAGGGTGGACATCGATGCATTTCGCGGCCCGCGCAAGAAATCTCGATCCAGCCATCTTGAGGCTATTGCTAATTCACAATGCGGACGTCGATGCGTTAGATTGCCATCAACAGACGCCACTGTCGAGAGCCGTCAGACATGGTGCCGAAGCTACAAGACTCCTGATCGATGCAGGAGCTGATTTGAACCTGCAGTACGATTGTGACAAATGGTGTGCTTTGCACTTAGCTGCCTGGATTGGTCAAACAGAGTCGATGGAGGTTTTGCTCGAGGCAGGCGCCAACCCATTGCTCCAGACAATATGGGGAGGGAATATTATTAGAATGGCACAGACACACGGGCCAGGAGAAGTTTTACAGGTCCTCGACAAGTTTCGGACGATCCTTAGACTTGCTTTTGAGAGGCACGGCCGAGGCCTTTCTCAATCTGACTTGCAAGAATTTCGTCGAGAGAACTGTATGCCGCAGATAACTGATGAGTGGTGGACATTATGGGTAGATCTAGTTGATGATCTTTACGCACTGGGGTCGATCGGGAATGAAGAAACATAGAAAAGCGATTATGAAAACGCTAGATATGTAAGGTCGGTAGTAGATTTTGTTTTATTCAATACTTTCTGCGAAATTAAAGCACAATTTAGGACCTGGATTGAACCTTGGTAATCTTTTGAATTTATTAAGCATTAATCTATGTTATTTGGTATCTAAGAAAGTCTAAATCTAACAGCTCTTTATGCTGAAGTCTGGCAGGTATTCGTGGTACTTGCAGAAAGGTACTCAACCTTTGAATCGCCAACCAAAATATCAAAGGTAGTAGTTGCGCTCTCTGCGTTCATATCCGTTGTAACAGTGTAGTACACGTATCCAGCTGTTTCTTGAGAGGTGCGCTCCATAGGAAGCACGACTGGGTTCAACTTAGGAATAACAAGTCCTTGAACTAGATTCTTCTTAACCACGCGGAGTTGTGGGGTAGCTCCGTTGGCCAACAACTTCTTTGAAACAGCGGCAACAAAGGTCTGCTTGAAGTCGGGGAGGCCACCTGGAGGAAATGTGGTGCACGTCTGCGCCCTTTGGTAAAACACGTCGCCATTGATAGGGTAGCCACCTGTTCCGCCATTGTCGTAGATTTCACCGTTGACACGGATTTTAAACGAGTCAAAAACGTCGCTGGCGTTGTACGATTGAAAGACATCGAACCACTGAAATAGCTCATTCTGGTAGCCGGACGATGTTCCACCGGCCATTGTGGCCATCGTGGCATTAATCTCCTCCCCTAGGGTGCCGTTGCGCGTAATGGGAATGATGGATGCGGTGAGAGATGCGGGGTCACGACCAGTACCGTCTGTGATACGGACACGAATGTGGGCGCTGAGGTCAACACCGCCATCGTTGTTGATTTCGTATTTCGCAATGTATGGCCTGATTTCTGCTGGCTGCAGGGGCTCGGTGAGCGTGACGTCTCCCGGGACAAGATCTATCATGCGTGAAAAGACATCCTCACACTGCGACTTGAAATAAGCTGGATCTGCGAGCTTTCTCATGGTTTTGTTGTCATCAGATGCGAAGATACGCTTATCGGAGTTCAACGTATCGTTGGTGTTGCTGACCAGTGGGTTTGCGGTGGAGTTGTTAAGATATTCCACCACCACTTGGTTGTCCAAGACACCTTTGGTGGTGTCAAAACTGGCTTTGTTCTCTGGGCTAACTGGACCAGAGACGATTTCAGGGTGGTCGACAGAGTGAACGCCACCAATGCTATGCCCACAAGCAATCAAAGTGATCATGTCGACTAAGGAGAGTCAGCTTTCTGTCAATCTATTAGATAACATACGAGGGCGGGGTTACCTTCACTGAGACTAGCAGTTGCGAATCGCTTGCGAGTAGTTTCGAGGCTTGTAGAGGGCTCAGGTACTCCCTTGATGCCGGCCTCTGGCGCATCTTTCCGGCCCAGCCTCAGTGGTACGCGCATGCCCCCACAACGATCAACTGACATGACTAGAGACAATGCGAGAAGGTCTGCTGCCGTGGTGCGAATGTCGTAGGCGCCAGCCAGGTCCGATAATGTGTTGTTGAGTGCAGCGCCAAGGTTCTCTGGCCGGTCAAGCTCATATTGGATTGAGGCGTCCAGTCCTCCAGTTTTCGTAGACGCATCGTGTGTCACACTATCGTGAAAGGCGGTTCGTACCCACTCCGCTGTTTTTTGTATACCAGGTAAATTGGCGCCAAAATCGCACGTCTGAATCTCTGTCTTGATGTAAGCTGTCTGTCAGACCATGGATACAGAAAAGGTAATGCGTACGATCGCCAAGAGTGCCATCTCTGATGTAGCCGGATTGGGTATATAACAAGTCGTCTATGTGGTCGTACTGGTTGGGCCAGACATATGCCTGGGAACTGGGCGCAATGAGCGCAAGACCAATTGCGAGATTGCTCTTCATGATGTCCTTGGATTTATGCTGTAGAGGGGTGGAAACGAAAGACTCAAGAAAGATGCTCGCAGTCGACCTGGTTTACTAATTAGTTATATATGCACATTCGCTGACTAGGATGACGATCAGGAGCCAAATCGACTACTTCAGTGTCAGAACTTAATCAAGCGAGATGTCACATATCGTGTTAATAGTGGGCGTAGTGGCATCGTATCCTGGATACGAATACTGCAATCATGGTAGTGCGATGGATTGAGAGTCGATGAGTGGCTTGAGGAACGGGCCGGGGTCGCGTCGTTCAGAGAGCGGTCTTTGATTCCTGCAATCTTATTTTGGGTGCAGGGGAAAACGCTAGGATGAGACTGGTCTAGACATGGTTAGCTAGCCGTCCAGGCTGGGCTTGATCAACCCTGAAATTACCCACTCAAGCACGTAGCAAGTATTGGCTCCAGCCCGCCTTCTTTCGGCGGAACTAGGTATCACCGGCGCCGTACTTCCGGCTGTCAGCAGCCTGAGAGTCCCATGCTTGGATCTCACGAAATCTTCTGAAGTCTGGAATGTAGACTTGTTCATGAAATAGAGGAAAATTTCACCATCTTTGCAGAACAGAGAACACTGTGTTCATCTGGTGGATAGTGAATGGTATGTCAGGGCCAGGGATTGCTACGCTGGACAGTGAAGGTCGCCCCCGTAACTGGAATCTCAGAGTAGTGTAACATCGGCTTCGACCGGTGCCCTCCTTGCCCCTGGCCTCGCCCACTTGAGCTATTTAAGGAACTGACTTCACATGGGTCTCTTCCCCACAGAGGTTCCTTTTCGCTCACAACACAGCGAATGAAGTACACCATGATTGTAATCGTATTTTGCTCAGCTAGTTAGCGCTGTTTAAACCCATAAATCTCCAGAACAAGGATAATCAAGCCTTCCATAGAATCAATCTATGATTGTTTAGATTGCCACCTTGTAGATCGCAAACCCGAGAAATGGCTATGCTAGAGCCAGGGACACATTCTAGTTGACAGAGAAAATGTTCGCCACCTCGCTATTATTGGCTGTGCAAAATACGATTGCAGACATGGTGTGTCACCACTACTTACATACATACTATATCCACATTGAGACTATGTTGACCTCAGTTGGTATCCAATAGGTGCCGAACAACTTTCTACGCTTCTCCACAGTACTGCACAATGAGCGCTAAGATGCAATGGCATGATCCAATAAGCTTTGCATATGGAACTTTCCTTTAAACTGTCACACGGAACAATTTGGTAGTTGATCTGCCGCTTTGTGTCAAACTAAGTACTGGGCCTTGCAGAAGTGTCTATTCTAAAGTGGTGCACTGCCACACCTTTGCCACGTGGAACATTCTATTCAACTAGTAAACCACTGGTGGGAGGACTATCGCTGCTCGTCATTACTCGTTTTGTAGATCATGTTTTTGCCAAGGACACGGCAATTGGTTCTAGCGATTGTGTTAGAATAGTAATTGTTCCAACCAATCAACTGCTGCGCTTTATGGTGATCAACTTGCCGCCAGGGCTCTGACAGAAGGACAGCTACTCGTGTGTACAACTTTACAAAATCATGCTAGCTGGTCCACACAGGCCCTTCCTCACCATTGCATTGGTCCTGTTCGGAAAAAGCATGCAATCCTCAACACGAAATACATGCGCATCGAATACTGGTTTCAGAATAAGACAGGTGCCCCTGCAAAAACCCAGTGCAAATCCTCTAAAATCTCAATAGCTCTGTTTTGGCCTAGATGCAGCATTCTCTCGGCGGACGTGGATGGAATGGACTCCAATTCAATATCTTTTTTTAGGTGCCCCAATCAATCTTCTCCCAGATAATCACTACGACTGCTACGCACGAAAACCGCACCAACAAAACAAGCCAACCATTTCTCCGCCGCGTGATTGCGTTAGAAATGGTTTGTCAAGTTCATGGATACCAAGAAATGCGTGCTCAATACGAGATGCCAAGGCACAAGAGGCACAGGTACATGAATTCATGGCTAAGCTTCGTTCCCTGGTTCATTGCCCAGACGACGAAATCGGTTACGCTCTTCTCCACGAACTCTTAAAGAATCTTTTGTACCCGTTCATTGCTGAGCTCCTCGGCAACACCGAACCTACACCGTAATTTTAAGTTGATTCGTTTATGTTTCCTTGGCAAACTTAGTTTGTTAGATGGCATTTTTGGTAATGCCTTTACCTGCATGTTCTCTGTGCGACTCGGCGTAGTGTTCTGAGGTAGCACCACAGTGTCACGCTGCATAAATCGCTAGCGGGAAGTTGACCATGTTACTTGCCTACTCTTGCAACCTAAGAAACCTAAAAATATGTCTTCTATGGTGCACGGCTCAACGATCTAAAAGCTGCAGTTGAGAGAGTATGATTTTAAAAGAACCCCTTTGCCTTCGCAAAAATCGAAGAGAATCGGGTGTAGAACGTAGGGCGTGTCTAGATTTGATTGTCAACTACAATGAAGTCAGTCTTGGTTGGTAGGTCCTCTCTTCCGTGAGTGATTAGTTGAAAATTCCAAGAAATGCATTTGTGTCAACAAAAAAAATTCTATTTTGCACGGCATAAGCAGAGTTGATAAGAGGGATAAATGTTGTAGAGTTTTCGCCAAGTCAAGATCGATACGTCCTTTAGAAAAATTCTCATGACCCAAGGCACTACACGGTGTTGCTCATCACCGTGATTGAACATCAACATCTTCTGTCCGAAGAGAGACGTAATTTTCATCACTCAGTTTCTTGGACAAAGTCAAACACGGGCAAAGTCTTTTGGCCCCGATGTTATTGTACATAATAGACACCGACTGACCGACTGACGAATATGAACGATGGTTTAAGAGAGAAACCTACAACCTGGGTACTACTCGAGCCAAAAGACTTTGAACATATAGCAACAATGTGTGCTTTGGCCTGCTCGAGTTGGACGAGAAGGCTACTGGGCTGATGAAGTAGTAACTATGGCCATTGATCGTCGAAAAGCAGGCACCGCTGCGTTAGACCGTACCCTACTATTCAAACAGTCTCAAGTGAGGGATAAAATTGCCATGATCCAGATAGCATGAAACTTCCCGGTTGGCAACGTTCATGTTACCAGATAATGGTGGAGACGTTTGCGGCTGAGCGGGGCTGGTGGCTGGGCAGGCAACTAAAACCGGCCAACCCTATTTCAGCCAGTACGTACGTGCGTACGTATGCCTTGACTATCTGGCCCCCATCTCTTCTATTCCGTCTCTCTAATGATCTCTGTAACAAAGGGCGTGAAGATTAACATGATGGCGCAGTGAAAGCTTCTACCCATTAGACCTTGTGCATCGGGTCTTCTGCTATCTCTTGCGACGATGGAGGCGGTATGTCCGTACGTTCGACCACTCCGCCCGTTTCTCTAACATTGCAAAGATTGGCGCTGTCGCCAGTATATTGCAGGTTGCCCAAATCGGGACACAGCTTTCAATTGGGTTATTTCAAATTGCAGATGCTATAGCTTCGGCCAACCAGGTGGGATCTTCGCTCAAGACTTCGATAGTCCAAGCTGACACACGCGCAGGAGACGAACTACATCGCCAAAGACATCGCTCTTTTCTGTCAGGTCCTCAAAGATCTTGCCAAAGCGATTGAATTTGGCCAAAAAGCTCAACTCTTCAGACAAGATGCCTTTGATACGAGCATTAAGATCGTTGACGAGTGCAAACGCGTGTTTACTGAAATTGAGGATATCCTGAAAAAAGCGACCAAGTCTGATAACCCGCTCGCTAGCAAATTCCGCGTGCCTACTGGTCACAAGATCATGTGGATCCTTAGGAAAGGAAAAGTTGAATTTTGGAATCGCTCAAATCGACCATACTGGTTGAGCTTGCAGTTCTAATTATGCGATCAAAGTGACGTCGCACCTATCGTAGGTCTAGATGCTTTGATTTCCGGTTGCTCTGCTTACGAGAACAGGAAGGACACTGTTGATGTGGATGAGTTGCTGGCCCTCAAAAGTTTGGTACTTGCCAACGAAGCGGCTAAGCAAGAATTTCACCATCAAGCAGAAAGTAGTGGGGAGATGATAAATGAGGTCGCAATTTCTAGCAGCGGAGTATCGGTATGCTCGAGAGAGTCTAAAGTGACCGCACTCTCTTTATCAGCTGACGATGGATCTGCACCTACCGCCACAAGTCACAGCCAAGCCCCGAGGACCGCGGAGGCTACAAAGCTCGCACCTTCATCTCAGTTCATCGTTTCAAATAGTCCCCATCCGTACTGGTCTCAAATTGATCGGTTGGAGTTGGCTGCCCAGAAACTGGAGTTAGCCAAATGGGAGTATTCTCGACTTGAAGAAAACATTGCTCTGGGCAATGCGAGAGGATCAATCGATTCAGAAATGAAACATGAATTTCTGATGGACAGAATAAAAAGCGGATTAACAAAATTTGGAATGAGAGAGGAACTTGTTGACGCGGCAATATCTACTCTCAAGGCCAACGGAGCCGGTCCAATGCCTGAACGAATCCCCATCTATCCAGTGGTATCCCGCGACTCCGAACAACTCGCGTATCTCCGGCCTACGGGCCTTGTTGATCTTACAAGCACAGTAAGTTTCATTGCAATCATGTAATAGCTTCTGTGTTTGATACGTTGCAGGACCACTCAAAAGAGGTCGTGATTATGAGGTGGCTACCGGATATGTTTGTCGACGTTCTTTACGAACATACTCAGGACCTTCTCGAAAACTCTGGTGTACCGAGACAGAAGATCTTAGAAGCTCCAAGAAGTCAAGCTTCCGAACAACATTTAACTATGGGCCGTGAAGCAAATCACCCCCTGCTCTCTACCGATCAACGACCCCAAAACAGAAATGTGAGTGAAAAGCACACGACATTAGGTTCAATGCAATACTAAAGCAATTAGGAACCCCCGCGGGGTAAGAAGAGAAGATCTCAGTCCATTGGCGATGCGCATCCTACCAATGTCTCTGGAAAGCGGCAGGTTCACTGGGACAGCCATAATCCCAAAGCTCTCGACGAAAAAAACCACCCAGAAGATATTCTTGAGCAAAGTGCTGAATCCGAGCCTGAAATCCTTCAAGAATACCCACAGTTCGAGGACAGGGGCTTCGATAAAGTGGACTTGACCTTTGAAGCAAATGAAGATGATGAAAACTTTGATTATGACGACTTCACAATGAACTACAGTCGAGATTTTTCCCCGTTCGATGAACGCAAAAGCGAAAGATGTGAGTTATTTGATCAAGATCAAATTATAGACGGCGATTCGATCCTGGTACCGGAGAGGAGAAATACCGGACATGCATTGGGTAAAGGGAAAGCGCCAGAGCCTGGTAGTGGAACTTCCTTCCTTCCACCGATAGCACCGCAAGAAGATGCATCGGGTCCGGCAAGTCCGCCAAGACCCATCGATCTAGCAAATACCGATCCTCGGATTCCTTCTATTGAAGAATTATTGAAGGAGCGAAATCATGAACTCGCGAATGATATGGTCAGGGATTGGCTTAACAAACATGACTTACAGTTCCATGCTGAAGCTGACACCCAGCCGGACATTGTTCCCGACCCCTTGGTGTCCACTCAGGAACCAGAAATCCCATCCACAGCAGTGCAGCTTGTAAGGCCCGGGCAGGACTACGATCAACCAACACCCGTCCAAGTACCAGAGACCGCAAACGCATCGATGCAGAAATTTCGGGACATGTCGAGCGACACTTACCAGGCTTCTCTCGCCGCAACGTGGGGCACAGCCTCCGTCAATAGCAATTACGACCTGGATGCGTACTTGGAGAGGCGCAGGAAAGGGATCGAGGGCTGCAAGGATTTCTTCATGGATGCGGAGGGCGACAAATCGCTTCAGGCTGTTCAGGAGCTCTTATTGAAGTGGACGACCGTGGACGATCCTGTTGTTTGGGAGAATAATGGCAAACAACTAAGACTACTCACTCAGAGGCCCTGAGAGCAGCATGGGCTGAATGGCTTTCTCGATGTGCTTATGTTCTCAAAACATTGTTAGGATCATTTTTTAAAGATTATCCATAACATTCTACTAGAAAGAGTATTCTATCTAGGCTAGCAGCACACGGAATAAAAGTAGATCACCTGATGACATCCTTGCGAACCTCTCGGGGGGTGCAACATGGCATCATGAAAGCCTGAAGATATACTGCTTGTATCGACGACGTATTTGCGTTGCTGAAATTAAGAGAAGTAAACTCAGTCATGATATAAGGCATCATTCGGTCCCATGAAGCTGTCACAGAAACTCTCATTTTTCGTCCTAGTTGACCGTGTTTAAATATCTCTAACAAGAGATCAGTCTTTTCGGGAAAATGACCGTGTCGCTGGCATGCGTCATCCAGTTAATCCATGTTGACCTCCACCTTCATCAGCGCCCACAAGCATTACGTTTTCCTCATCCGTCAGCGCAGTTTTCGCGGTGCCTAGAGCTACAAACGCCCAAACGCCCAGTGGAATATTATGGGGTCCCAGAAATAGATTCAACGCAAAGCGAATGCGCTGTAAAGCGCATTTGCATGGCTGCGGCAGCAAGATACAAGGGGCAAAACTTCAAGTGGTGCGTTTTTATGAGATTGTAGCTGCGATAGGGTATGTGGTATAGAATGCTTCTAGCTGCCGTTTCTCTTATCATAGATACTGTGTTTACCGTAAATTCTCTAGTAGATGAACTCTAAGAATTGCCGAGTTGGATGCCCGTGTGGGTAGCGACAGAAGCAGTCACAGCAATTGCGCGCACCGATGCTTATTTTGTGGTTGCTAGCGTAATACGTGTAGAGATATTTTTTGAACCAGTGATCTTCTTCCGGCTTCATGTAATGCGGGTGTTGAGTTTGACGAGTATAAGGCTCTGCGCTTCAGTTGCGAGACGATAATAAACATGTTCATCAGTCTAGTTGGCTTTTCTGCGCTAATGGATGAAGACAGCCTCAAGACCTCGCAAACAATATGAATAGTCCTGCTTCCGGTCATACCTGCCTTTCCTGCACAATGCTTCCGCACTAGAAGTTTAAGCAACCGTACACTACAGTATGGAGTGCGCAAGCTTGGGCACCTTGGCTTGATCGCTTTAAGCAACATGCTCTTAGCATCAGCACTAGACTACCCTATAACAACATCTTCTCTTACTCTGCCCGAAAACGCTTACCGCAACCAATTCCCAAGCTTCTCTGAAGACAACGTTAACACAACATTCTCCACCTGCAAATTACGCGATACGATCTCGAACCGCCTATCAAGGCAACAAAGCCAAGAGTACATAACCATAGAATCAGCTTGGGCTCTGTTCAATTTCGTCTCATTTCCATCCGATATACCGAATTAGGGCTCTGTTAAATAAAGGAGATAAAAATGGTGTTGTGTTTAGTAAAGCGGTCTGGATGCTAGTAGGTGGAGCTCTATTTTGTGAACGCTGCATTGATACACGTAAAATGCTCTAATATTTAGTGCAGTGTTAATATACTAATTTCCCTCTTAAGTTAAACAGAGCCCCATCTTCTTGCTACGTAGATCTTAAGATCCCTAGTGAGATGTAAGAACTCTGACTAACCACGTGACCAACCTTTTCTGTCATTCATTCTAACCTAGACAAGCCCAGCTATAACGCTAGTCGACACCTACTGACGCAGAACGGTAGCCAAAAGGAGACAGAGATGGAGCAATTGAACAGGCCCTGGCTATCAGCGAAACAAGCTTCCCAATCTATCAAGACTGTGTAAACGAAAAATTCCAATTCGCTCTCCTACTCTTCCGCTTCCAATCACATCCGAAAGTTTAAATAGTAATCTCACTATTAAGAGTAGCCAACACATCCAATGCCCGTGCCCCTACACGATCAAACCCCCACCCTAGACACCCGCATAAACTTTACCTAACATCTCCCACTAATTCCCCATCGCCCAAAAAAGTCATAATATCTGCTATTATTACACAATAGTTCACTCACCGAGTCCAATATAGCCTCTCCAACCTCATCAGTGCAGCTTCACAGCTTCACCGCATTTCTAGGCTCCAAGCTTGCGAGTTGATGCCATGACCGGCTGACAAGCACCGTGCGGCAAAGCGCTTTATTACACCGGGGGGTCCACATGTTGCATTGACCATGCTGCGCCGTACCCTCCATCGACACTGCAATAGAGCCGTAACATAGTAACTCAGCCAGTCTACGAGTCCTTGGACTTTCTATTATCTGCATGTCCTTTCGACTCTATCATTATTCCTAGTCTCTCCCATCTCCATACACATCCACAAGCAACGTCACCGTATAAAATTAGAAACAGAAGACGATCCCTAGTGTACACACTTTCGCCTCTATCGTTGTAGTACTATACCATTTTCCCTTACCATCCACCCTCATAACGTTAGTGATATCTCGTAATTGTACGAGCCCGCAGCGAAGCAGCGTAAGAAGAAAAAACACCCGCATATACTTCCCGACACTCAAAGTCATGTGCCGTCATCTTCTACGCCTGTGCCTTTTCCTTGTCCATTCATCTAAATACTTACCCTGCATACCGGTACAACGTGTATTCCAACCGTCCCGAACAAGCTTACACGTTTAACTGTGTTTTAGCCCGTGACTTCACCGCCCTCTCCCACTGGCTCCCCCAGACCGCGCAAATTGGTAATAAGACCGAAAAACGGTTAAATACCCAGATTCCAGAACGTCCGCTTTTTTTGAGTGAGTACGCGATTTCCTGTAGTCACGTTATAGGCCCAATTGGAAGTGTGAACACGGGCAAAGTGTGTCAGGCGAGGGGCGGCACGGGCGCGGTCTAGGGCTTTTCAATTGCGCCGGGGAGGTGAGAAGGAGAAGGTCAGTGCGAAGTAGAAGAGGCTTGGCTGTAATACTTACACGAATGATTGAATGTAAGTATGATACGGAGTAATACATTATGCCGTGGCTGACGCTGGCGTAGACATGTTTCTCGGTCCGTTTGATATTAAGGACAATTACAGGGGTTAAGAATCAAGACTAATCAGTAGAAACAACTAATCAGAATCGGGAACCGTTGTGGCTAGCGAGCAACCGTGCATTGTTTTCTAGGGCCCATTGAGAACATCTCAGCGGCAGCCCGACTCGGGTTTGCGAATAGCACCTAGCCAGTACGTATGTAATATGTCCAGCAAGATGTGTTCAATGCTCTCGTCTCGGCGGCTCGTCGGGTCTTTGATGATGGATAGCAGCTCCCTCGCCATATAAGAAATGGAGTTTCCCTCCTCAGGATTCACTCTCCACCTCGACATCGAGAACTACTAGATCCAACACAAATCTTCAATATGCGCGCCAGCTCCTTCATCGCTCTCGCCATCGGTGCCACCGCCGTCTCTGCGTCCGGGTCGGCCTCGTGCGATCCGTACTGCCAGTTCCCAGCAAGCCTTGACTGCCCAGGAGGAGGCGGTGTTCACATCGACAAGAAAGATCTTATCGCGGCAGTTGTTGCAGGCGATAGGTCGCAGCCACCGCAGGAGACCAGTGCATCCAACCTTGCTACGAGGCACTGCGCTGCGGTCAACTACCCTCTCTGGACGGTAAGTTTCTCTTTAAAGTGCAATGGCTAGCATCTCCAACTCTTCATGCTAACGTCGAAATCTGCAGACTGATTTGCCCAAAAATGCCGGCTCGGTTTACTATGCCTATTCACCCAGCGGCACCTTTTACTACTGCGGCACCTCTTCGGGAACCGCTCCGTCAGGTTGGCCTGATCAATGTACGGAGAACTAGGTATTAATCAGAAATGCTTCTATATAGTTGGAAGTTGTCCCATGAGGGTTACTGTAAATAGAAATGAAAATGCCAATGCGACGCTTTTAGATCCAATTTACGGGCGTAACATTCTGATCAGGTGCATGATATTTCAAATGACCTACAAGACGTTAGTAATGCTGTCATGATTCCCAGGCTGTCAGTTGGTTGCAATAGTCTGATTTTGTTCATTGACTCGGTTGTTCAAAGAAAAGAAATCATTGCAGTCAACAATGAGTGTACTACTAAAAGTACTACGTACCTTTCCCACAAATGCTCGTAATTTGCCCAGAATCAGCAATCATGGCTCAAGCGTAGGATCAAATGCAGTATAACAATTGCGCACATTGATAAGAGAAATAAAAGAAGCTTCTTGATATGGTATCGAGCTATTTTGGTCATGAAAACTACCCTTGTAATGTGACGCCAGACTCCAGGAACGGTTTTTTTACTCGCAAGGCCAAGCCAGTCATTAGGCTGTCGCTGTCGGTTGATGCAGATAAGGTACCGGGTCCCGAGAGCCGCTCTACTCGTCAACATCCATGGCCTCGACACCGCGACCGCCGACCTTCATCTTCATCTTCCTCTTGCTCTTAGTCTTGGGTAGCATCTCTTCCTCGGCATCGCTAAGCTCGCTCTCTTCTGCCTCAAGCTCCTTCCTCCTGGCAGCAACCTTGTCCTTGATTGTCTGGACATCGGGCTCGACTTGCATTTGCTCGAGCTCCTCCTTGGAGAATCGCTCACTGGGTGGCAGCAGGTGCTGGTTTTCCAAGACCAGCTTGCGGTCTTCCTCGCGCTGGCGCTGCTTGTTACCGCGCATACGGGCCTTGTAGAAAGCGCGCTCTCTTCTGGCACGGATCTCGGATACACGACCCATGGCCTTGAGTGTCGTCTGGACAAGGTCGCGGTTGTAGCGCACGGGCACGTTACGGCGCTGAGCAAAAGTGAGGGTAGAGTCGACAGTCATTTCCTTGCCGTGTGCGCGACGGAAGCTCTTTGTCCAGGCCAGCTTGCGCGGCTGTAGAAAAAAAAAGCCAAGTCAGCAGGGGTGGGGTGGGCGCATGGTATGAGGCGTGCTTACGTTGCGCTTCATCTTGAAGTTCTTGTGGCATTTGCTCTTGCAAAATCGAAAGCTCTTGGCGTCATTTCGCACTGTGCGCGGTCAGAAGAGGGTCGTGGTGGCGCCATTGCAGAGGGTATGAATACCAAAGGTGATGCCCTTGGACGGGTAGACGGGGCTTGAGCAGAAGTAGCCTGCACATGTTAGTTTCGTTATTGATCAGCGCCAACGTAGGGGATATACATACACGTCTCAATTCTCATGGTGACGGCGGAGGAGGTGGAGGTGGTGGTGGTGGTGCAGCAAAGGGCAGTATGCCGGCCTGGCCAGAAATTTTGGGTGGCGCGTGCACCCCGGGGCCAATTGCATCGCTCGTCGCCCGAAGCACCTCCGCAGATTCCTCGCCCGCCTTTTCCCTCGACATTATCGACATCGACCTGATCGCCCCGTCTCTGCTGCGCCCTCTCTCGTCCTCATCGTCCAGTATCCGCCCATATCATTCTCTCAAACATCACTCTGTACATTGTCCGCTCCTGAATCCCGTAGCATCCGCCCCACCCGCTGCACCAACCAAACCGCGTCTTCTCATCTCTCCCCGCACAGGACCAGCATGTCGGCCTGGGTGTGGATATTAGGCGCAGGTGCCACTGCCTTCTTTGTACGTCCTCCCGTATCATGTGCAGCTTTCGTATACAGGCAATACTGACCCAAATGAACAGGGCCGCGCAGCTCTCATTGCTCTGCGGAGATCAGGTGGGGGCGCTGGTGCTCTGGGGCGCTCATACTACAAGGGCGGCTTTGAACCCAAAATGACACGGAGAGAAGCAGCGCTGATATTAGAGCTGCCGTAAGTCGGTCTGCATGTTTGCTTTCGCAGGCTAACAAACAACAGCGAACGAGGAATTACAAAAGAACTCCTGCGGAAGAAGCACCGCTCATTGATGCTCCTAAACCACCCCGATCGAGGCGGCAGCCCTTACCTTGCTACTAAAGTCAACGAAGCAAAAGAGTTGTTGGAAAAGGAGGTCAAATAGAAGGACCCGACGACTTTGAATGTACCCACTATCTGTACTATATTACGACAGCATTGTCAACATTGGCATCAGCATGGCGTTGGACTGAAAATGATCGGCGTTCAAACCACTCAATCCGCTCCATGTTCCGCTCTGTTAGCGTCCGTGCCAGCCTATTCTCCTCTCATTCGAAACATTGCGCTGGCCAGAGCAATTTGTTTGCTGCCCTTGGCCTGTTTCGTGTTCCCTGGCACGTTGTCTTACACTCGCCCACTGTGGCCAATCACACTTGGCGGCCGAGATGAATTGTGGCATGGCTAAATCTGCAGCGATTGCAACTATAATGACGATATTGCTATACGATCCCCACAAAGACTTGTACCAATATATATTCCCCAGAGCTCCGGCTTGTACTTATGCACTCGGTATTCGACCCTTCTCTTCTTACACTTTTTCCGCCATGGTGCGGCTTTTTACATCCGTGACTTGTTCACTCCTTCTGGTCAGCGTATCGGCTCACGCACGCATCGAGAAAATCACAACATCAGCTGGCCTGGTTTACAACGGATGGGACCCCGTTTCTTCTGAAACATTGACGCCGCCTCGCCCATTGGCTGCATGGTCAGCCGCGAACATAGGCAACATCTTCGTGGCTCCCTCACACTTCAATACATCAAACATTACCTGCCATGACAACGCCATACCTGGTGCACTTCATGTCAACACGACTGCGGGCGACACATTGCGGTTGAAATGGAATGAATGGCCAGTCTCTCACGTCGGCGCAGTCATGACATACATTGCCAAGTGCAACACGACTTGCTCAAAAGCAAACAAAGACACCTTGTCCTGGGTCAAGATTGATGAGCTGGCATGGCTCAACAGTACCGGGTGGGACACTTTGGAATTGGGTGGCACATGGGCGACGGACGTACTCATTGCCAACAACTTCACATGGGAAATCAAGATACCAGAAGTGCTGGCAGCAGGCTATTACACACTGAGGCACGAGCTCCTTGCACTGCACGTGGCAGAGCAGCTGGATGGTGCACAAGCGTACCCGCAGTGTATAAACTTGCGAGTGAATGGAGAGACAGGTGCAAAGGCAAAGCATTTGGAAGGGGGTGTACTGGGGACCAATCTGTACAGGCCAACAGACGCAGGTATACTGGTCGATGTCCACAAGAAGCTGGCTGGATACGATACTCCGGGTCCGAAGCTGTGGGAGTACGCAAGTCCATTACGGCAGCCATTCCAATGAAGCTGCGACGGGCGGAAAACATGGTATTTCATATGTACATATATTCATACATACATACAAAGACATGCTACCTACAAAGTGACAATCCAATAGCGCGGGACGTGGGGCGAACTGGTGCACGGTTGCCGGCGGCTTATTATGTACTCTATTTTGCGCCATGACGCACGTCCAAACAAACTCGTCGCCTATCCACAAAGACTCGAACTTCTTCTGTCATCAGCCCCCCGTCGCTCATTCCCTCTCCCCTCACACCCCACCTCACCTGGTCCTTGTGTTTTCCCTCGCCCATTGCCGCCAAACTTCATCGCTGCAACAACAAAAGGCGCACAATGGCACCAACCAAAGTCATTGAGCGCGAGGCGCCAGAAGTAGTGACCAAGTCACACGCGCCGGTGCGATCGCGTCTCCCTACCGCGCTGCGCGTGCCCATTCTCATCAGTCTGAACATGGGCATCAACGCGCTGCTGTGGGAGTTTGCCTCAAATTTCCTGAGCCCGGAGCTCGGGGCCATCAGCAAGGTGCCGCAAGAGGACGATGTCACGTCGTTTTACTCGCCTCATGCGCGTGTCGCCATGCGCTGGTTGACCGTGTGCATGACGTGGTACTTGAGCTACGACTGTAAGAGCGCGTCCAAAGAAAAAAAAGACTTTTCGCGCGAAATCACTGCTAATACTGTATGCGCAGTCTACGATGTCTCGGCCCTCGTTGTTTTGACATACGCGCCTTATGCCTATTTGATCACCACCTTTTACAACATCACACCTTTGACTGCCGCCACCAATATTTGCATCGAGGTCATTTCTTTTGCGCTCCCCACATACCTTTTGCGCCCGCGCTCCCTCGCCCACAAGGCCAACGCGCCTCTACGCAACCGCTTCTTGCTCAACAGCTACCAAGTCCAACTCTCAAGCTTCATGCTCGCAACCGGCGTCTACGTTGTGCTTCTATGGGGTGGCCTGAAGACGGGCGTCTTGAACACGTTCCTCGTCCAATACTTTGACATTCCCACGCTCGAAGTCGCCCATATCGAGACTCCCCTGTCTCTGGTGGTTAAAACATTCATTGCTGGTTTCGCCGCCAAGGCTTTCCTCCTCAATCCATCCTTTGCTGCTCAGCCGCTTTCCGAGAATCAGACGCCCGGCGAGACTTTTGACCCAGCTACTGCCACGCTATCTCAGACTCTTGAGTACAACTTCTACAACTTTACCCAGAGGACCCGCACTCTGATCCAGCAAACGCTCATTCTCAATGCCTTTTTGTTCATTGGCACCGTTCAACGAAGTATGACGATCGTGGGAACTGACATTATTGGCGCTGTTGGATATGCGGGTATGTGGGTCGCAGCCAATACTCTCATTGCCCTATGGTTTGGCTGGGTTGGCGACACTAGCGCGGACTACGAGCCTTTGTAAAGCATTCCGGGGAGGATGAGTAAGGGAGAAAATTAGGTACGGAAAGAAAGGTCCCGGGAAAGGTGTTCCCATCATGTCTCCATATAACTGTATTTGTCACGTGTTTTTTATATAGGGACACACACGGTCGTGTCGGCGCCGCATTCGTAGTTTTTGTTTTTTTTTGTTGTTGATACCAATTATTTGTTTCCATCTTCATTACCTCTCCTCTCTTTCTCCCTTTTCCATCTTACTCCACATAAAACACCTCCTCCATCTGTCCCCACCACCCGGGCCCCTTTGCGCTCCCCTGCGCCCCCTCCACAGGCGACTCTTGCATCCCATCCGTCATGCGCCACCACTCCTGTACCTTTGGATTCGCCGCCATACGCGCCATGTCGTCGTCGAATGCATGCCCAATGTATTTGAACGATGCGAAGAGCGTCGGCCGCGGAGACATGGTCAGGAAGATGGAATCTGTGGCCAACGTAGTGAGCAGTGAGCAGTCACCGAACCCAACACATAACGTACAAGTAATCTCCAAACATAAAGCAATAGCCAAGGGGAAATGCGAAGAAGGAAAGACAAGGCGGCGAGGCGAGTACTTACAATCTCGTATGTTAGAGTCTTTGATTTGTTCCAGGACCTCAGGCCAAACAGCCGCATGGCACTTTTTGTATTCGTCTATGGCTTCGGGTTTGAGGTAGAGCCATTGGGCGATGCGGCGGGGGCCTTGGGGGGTTGACATTGTTTTTTTCTTTATCTCGTCGTGTCCTGTTGTTGAATCGAGGTGAGGATAAATAGCGGGGTGTAGGATAGGTTGAGGTAGCAGAGTGTTGGATAGGTGAGGATGTATGTATGTGCATCAAAGACGCGGAGGGAGGGGGGGCATGTATTGTTTTGTGGGTTAATTAGCTCTGTGTCTTTTCTTGAGATGCATGAGCTGTTGGAGGGGTCATAGGGAACTTGTTCGGGATATTGGATGCCGAAGCCGGAGCTTAGGGAAGGAAGCTTCTACGCAGAGTTTACAAATACCAGTTTAACAACCAGATACTCTACAAGTAAAGAAACTTACCAGACATACTCATCTTTAATCATCACCTTCTAACACATCATGACAACAACCAACAGTAAAGAGGAGATATTTTGCATTGCTATTTGATACAGCTTATCATTCATCGTTGATACATCATCACTGTTTACATGCCTGGCCCGTGTATCTACACATAGCCGACTTTTGCTTACCTTTACAGCCCAGTTATGTCCCAATATACATGGCCCCCTCCGCGGAAAAGACCTGTCGTCCCGCTTCTCAACATGGCCGCGCGAAACCGATAACTCCATGAATGCAAAACCGGTTCCCAAAAACTGGACACGAACAAAGTCCAGAGAACACAAAAGCCACTGGTGTACCATCACATGAACGTCGCAAATCTGTGGCCACAGTTCATGGATACGGTGCCACAATGCGACAGATGGGTACTTTTAGCGCCTAACTTTTGGTCGCAAGGATTCCAGAAGAGAAATGACTGATCAAATCTACTTTGTCCTCTTCCTAGGGTTCGCCTGAGTCTTCTTCTTGGACGGCGTCTTTTGTGTATCTCCCTCAATGTACTTCAGGAGATCCTCAATCTTGCGCTGATCGACACGGCTGTTTCCGCTTCGCTGACTGGCTGAAGCAGCTGCAGCATCACTTGCAGAAGGTGCAGCAGCAGCGGGACGGAGAGGGTTGCGGCCAGGGAGTGGCATTGCCCGGATACGTCCCTTGGCAATATCGTTGAGCTGCTTAGCCTGGGATACAGCGCTCTGAGTGAGCTGCTCGAGCCAGCTCTCAGCTTCCTTGGTGTTACGGTCATCAGGGCCGAGAACCTCCTTGAAGATATTATACGACTCGCGCATGCGGTTGACACCACCACGCATGTCCTTGTCGAGGGCAAGGGCTTGCGCAGTCTGGAAGAGCAGAGTGGCAGTATTGATCGAGTTCTTTCCAGACACTTCTTCACAGATGGCGAGGGATGCTTCAAACCAGATGCGAGACTCGTGGTACTGCTTCATCGACTGCAGCATGACAGCAGCGTTGTTAAGCGTAGTGATAGAGTCAGGGTGGTCAGGTCCATAGATGATCTTCCACAGCTCAAGTGCATGGCGCAGATAGACAAGAGCAGCCTTGGTGTTACCCGAGGCATGCTCAAAAAGACCCAGGTTGAGATAGGCGAGCAGAGTGTCGGCATGGTCAACGCCCAGCGTGCGCTCAGACACAATAACGGCCTTGTGTGCGAGTTCAAGAGCCGAAACCTTGTCTTCTAGATTGAAGAGTAGATTGGACAATGTGTGGTAAGCCTTGGCTACCTCGGGGTGAAGTACACCATAAATTTGCTCGTGTAGCTGTAGTGACTCAAGAAGCAACTCCTGTCCGAGTTCCTTCTGGTCCTGAGCAACAGACATGCGACCAGCCTCGAGCGCCTCTTCGGCCAGCAGGCTCTTTGGAGAGGCCTCCTTGATGATGGGAACAATGTTCAGAATGTCATCAGCGTGGAATGTTTGCTGCGGGAGAGCCACTGTTGGGCTAGCCGCACGTGCTGGTGGTGTGTTCTTGTTCTTCTTCTTCTTGCTGGAAGTTGTTGCTTGGCCGTTGGTCGGGGGTGCAGCTGGCTTCTCGGCTGGGGCACTGGCAGCAAAAGCCTCCTTAGTGAAGGCGTACTGCTTGCTCTCCAACTGAAGTCCCAACTTCAGTGAGACCTCACGAAGCATCTGCAGCTCCTTGCCAGACTCGACCCACGACTCGCCCAGGTCATAGCGGAATCGCAGAGCTACCTGAGCCACAACTTCCTTCTTGAGCGCCTCTGGTGTGAGCTGCTCAAAGCTGAAGTCAGCCTCGGTGTACATGGACTTGAGGCTAGCATCGCTCTCAGGCACAGGCTTGGCGCTCACTTCGGCCCCTAGAAGGCAGTTGAGCAGGTGCGCGGCCGCTGGGGCAGCAAAAGGTGCAGGCACATTGCGCAACTTGGAGTTGGCAAAGTGCTTGAAACCACGCGCGATCATTTCCTGGATAAGCAGACGCTTAAGAGCTTGGAGCCTTGGGTCAGGCTTGTCAGCCAACTCTGCAAGCTTGCCAAGGTAGCGAATGTTTACACCCCGCTTGTGCAAGAGGTTGCTCAAAGATTGGCCATCCATTGGGAAGCCAACTTCGCCCTCCTTGAGTTCCTGGATCATGCGAGGAATGACTTCGGATGTGAGGTGCTCACAAGCAGCACGGACTTCGGCCTCGTCCTCAGCCCACTCCTTCTTGTCCTCTTCCGATTGGGGGTTCTGGCCAGAGAAGACATCGGGGTTGAGAGCAAAGGAGAAGCCAGAAATGTCGACACGCTCCTGTTCTGGGTCCTCTTCGGGCTTCTTCTCAGCGGCAGCCTTCTTTGCAGCCTTCTTCTGTTCCTTGGTCAACTTCTTCTCCTTGGGCTTCTTTTCGGCGCCCTCTTCTTCTTCAGATTCATCGGAATCATCCGATTCCTCAGAGTCCTCTTCTTCTGAAGACTCTTCTTCCGATGAGCTCTCCTCATCCTTGGCTTCCTTCTTGGCCTCGGCCTTTTTGGCAAGCTCATTCTTGACGTATTCGCGGAGCTTGACTCGGCCATAAGACTCAACCAGCTCTGGGCGCAAAGTGGCCATTCGGTGGGGGTAGTCCTTGTCTTTCGGCTTCGACTCGCCCTCTTCTCCAGGCTCAGCCCAGTGTGCCTCTATCCATGAAATATCGAGCGGGGTGAGGCGGTAGAGATCCAAGGCATATCGCCTGCCGTCAGTGCCGATCAAACCCTTGGTCTCGACACTGCCTTCCAGTTCGTGGCGAACATTGTCCTTGTCCCAAACCGGGTGCCTCTTGACACGCAGAGCCTTGGATAGCTGTTCGAAAAGAGGAACAAAGGACTTGTCGTCTGCCACGATTTCCTTGCCCTCAACCGCACCGTAGTCAATCTGGTGCTCACCAGGGTCACGCTGCTTGAAGATACCGGGGACTATGCTCTGGCCCACAATACGCTTTCCTTGATAGTCAACAACGACGGTTCCAGAAGTAAAAAGGTTAGGAATGTCGAGGTTGTTGACCGCGCGCACACCAAACACATCCTTGCCTACAGCAACACGAGCTGCCTCATCTCCACCTTCAGCGCCAAATGTGCCGACACCGTCAGCACCAAACGAGTAAAAGATGTTATTGTAGACGAAGATTTGCGCATCTTTGGCCTCTGTTGGGTTCAGAGGCGCAATCTCTCCACGAGCTACCAACATGGCACCGCGCGTGGCAGCGTCATTGTAGTCAGCAAACAGCTTAGACGTAAGGCGCTCGCGGAAGACTCGGTCGTGGACGGCCTCCTTGGGCATCTCGCGGGTGGACTGGAACTCCTCATTCCAATCACGAAGTGTCTCAGTGTTCTCGACGCCGGAAATCAGGTAGCTCTCCTGTGTGCGGGCGAGATCTGGCTGATGCGGGGTGAGGGCCGAGTTGGGCGCAGGTACTAGCCATGGGTTGGCAGGGATGGCGTTGGAGAGCTGGAAGATAGTAAGCAGCTCCTTCTTCGCATTGTGCTCGAGCAGCTCGGGGAATGCAGTGCGGAAAGATGGAGATAGCTCTTCAAGCAGGGTAAGAAGCGAGTGGGCGCGCTTGTCCTTTGGTGCCTGTCGGGGGAAGGGATCAAAACTGGCGTTGGACGACTTGTTGACGTAGAAACCAGAAACGTGACTGGTAATGTGGTGTTGCTCGTTCTCGTTGGTGGTAACTACAAGGTACAGCAGATGACCCTTGGACCTAAGGTGGTATGGGGGTGGGTTCCAGGGCGAGACGGCAATCGACTTGATCGTCTTTGGCGGCGCTTCTGGGGCCGGGGGTAGTAGGTTCTTGACGGCGCCGGACGTCTTGAAGTCGTAGTCGGCCAATGGCGACTGCTCGGGGCCGTCTTGCTTAGGCTTCAAGATGTGCTCGTGGCCCACTGTGTCGTGGAGTGATAGACCAGCCATGAGGCCGTGCAGCGCATCGGTGCGGTCGCCAGCAGCGCCAATGAGCTCACGCACACGGACGACATGGAGCCTGGCCTCCTTCTCCGTGTAGGGATCCTCGACCAGGGTCAGGACTGAGTCGGGCTTGAGGTCCTTGACTTCGGACAGCTCGACGTAGTCGTTGATGCGCTCGCCGTTGTGCTCGAGGTGGAAGCACGAGTACTGGAAGGTATGCGGCATCTCGATGATGGACTGGCGGAGATCCTGCACCTGCTCTGCCGTTGAGATGGTCATGGGCATCTCGAATGGCTCATGGGGAAGCTTGATGGTGACCTGGAAAATGTCTTGACGATGTTAGCGATTTTTTTTCTTGCTGTACATGTCTCGTGTGCTCATGGCACCTACTGTCTGGCTGCTGGCCATTGGCGCCATCGTCTTGGTCTGCGCCATCGGTCTGCTCATTGCCAGGGGCCGTGTCGACTGGAGCGGTGGTGCTCGCGGGAGTCTCGCCCGACTTGGTGGTGTCGTTGGCGTTGGCGGCCATGGTTGGCTATGAGTAAAGAGGAAGCCCCAAGCCCGGGCAGTGGACGACTATGTAAGGAGGGAATTGGAGTGGGCAATCAGGGCAATTCACAGGACGCAGGCATTGACGTCCAACGGCAGGCGTTGAGATGCAGCAGAGGTGGGGAGAGAGAGTAGAAGGAGAAAGAGAGGAGGGGTGCAGTGCAGTGCGGTGCGGTCATGTTCTCCAGAATATTTTTCTCGACAGCGCCGGGATGGTCCGCTAAGCTCGCACTCCACTTCCGACACACCAAAACCAGCGCGATTAGTTAGGGCTGCAGACGGCGGCGTCAGTCCAATGGCATCGTCATCGACAGCCAGCGGCATGTCCGGCTGACTATGTCTGTATATACGGATATACATATACACATGTATGTAGCTGGCATGTCGAGCACTGGACATGGGACATGGTGGTGGGGTCCTCGCGTGTGTCCCGCTCCCCTCACCCACAATCTCGTCTCCCATCGCAGCTGCCTCTATCTGGTCTTGGCATCTCCCGCCCCTCGGCCCGCCACTACCAGCTTCCCCCCTTTTGGGTCATCTCACATTCGTGTCCTGTGGCCCTCTCGTCCCATTGTATTGCACCCCCATTGTCCCTGCTTTCTTTTGTCCTCGTCACTCCCTTCTCTTCTCTTCTTTTTTTTCTTTCTTTCGTCTTGGCCGGTTGAGCGGCGCCCGTGTTTGATACTACGTACGCGTGCACACGCGCACGCACCCGACAACAGCAATAATGCTAATCCTACGGCCCCTCCTGGGGGCCAAACCAATGCGCCTCCCAGTCGCGTGTCTGCGACAGCCCTTCGCGTACCCCTCTCAGCAGGCTGGCCCGGTACTGCGGACAAGGTTATGTCATCCTCGGCGGGTCCGCGCTCTGAGTGGCCAGTCTGGCCCTCCTGCTCCTGGTAACGAGGCGCCCAATCCAGTCGACGATGCTGCTGAGCGTCTGGAGGAGGAAGAAGCAGAAGCAGAGTCAGACAGACGTGAGGCCAAAAGGGCCGCCTGGCGTAGTACCGGCTGGAAAATGTTCGAGGCCGCTGCCACCACTGGAGCGAGCATCTTCATCCTGGGCTGTGTGGGCATTGGCTACACCAAGTACTACAAGTGGAACGTGCTTGAAAAGATGGAAAATGCTTTTCGTGAGGGCGACCCCGTACTTGATCTGGCCGCGACTAGCAAAGAGGTGCCCAAGACCGGTGCAGAACCCACGCGGCCTACTGTGACCAAAGGCAACATTGAGGATGATGATGACGATGAAGAGAGCTACGACCGATGGATCCCCCGTGATGAGCAGGAAAAGATTGACAAAATTGTCTGGGGCCAGACCAAAGGACGCTACCATCTGCTCATTGGTGAAAAGGGCACGGGAAAGACGTCTATGCTGATCGATGCCATGGCCAAGATTAACGGCGAAGGATGCTCCATGATGGAAGCCCATGCCGACCTTGAAGTCTTCCGCGTCCGGTTGGGCCGATGTCTTGATTTTGAATATCACGAGGACAACATTGGCTCGCTCTTCTCCATTCGTGGACCACGCGACGCGGGTCCCATTCTCGACATTGAACGTGCCTTCAATAAGCTTGAAAAGGTAGCTCTTAGGCGACGTGCAACCATTGGGCGACCATTGATCCTCATCATCAACTCTGCCCATTTGATTCGAGATGACGAAGACGGCAGGGACCTTCTTGAGCTTATTCAACAACGTGCTGAGCAATGGGCTGCCTCTAACCTTGCAACTGTTATCATCAACTCGGACAAGTATTGGGTGTTTGAGCGACTGAAGCAATATGCCACGCGCATGGAAGTCCACCAGATCAAGGATCTGACCAAAGACCGTGCTATGCAAGCCTTGCGAAATTATCGCATGAAGTACTATGGCGAGAAGGTGAAAGAATCCATCCTCGAGGAAATCTACGACAAGATTGGCGGTCGCCTCACTTTTCTCAACCGTGTCGCCAAATCCGAAGACATGATTGCCAAGTGCGACAGCATCTGTGAAATGGAAAAAATCTGGTTCCTAAACAACTGCGCCATTCTCGGCGAGGAAATGGACGACGACGTCATGGATCAACAAAAATACGCCGTGCGTTATGCCCTTCATAACTGGCTACTCTGGTGCCCAAAATGCTAACGAACCGCCTAGTCCACAGCCATGGTCCTCGCCCACGCCCTCTACAAGCGCTACCACGAAATGGATGCAAACTACGACCCAAAAGCCGGCCACATCCTCCCTTCAATCCCCCTCCACCGCGCCCGCTACATCATGACGCGCTCCGACTTCATCCGCCAACACCACGACCTCTCCATCTTCTCCATCGACTCGCATGCCGTCGTCCGCGCAGACTCGGTCCCCATGCAACGCGCCTTCAACGAAATCTGCGCCGAACCCGGCTTCGAAAAGTTCCTCGAGGCCACCTTGGATCGTATCGCCGGTATCGAGTCGCTCGGTCGTACCAAGGAACTTACGTTCAAAGATCTGTGGGATGGCGGCAAGTATAAAATTACGACTACGAATCGCAATGGAGAGGTGCAGGGTCAGGTCGAGATGGAAACTGTCAAGGGCAAAGAGGATGACGACGATGATAATGACGGTGATGACTAAGTGCGGTGGGGTTACTGACTTCAAGCGGGGAAGTTAAAGACTTGGAGTTTTTGGTGGCGGATTGTGAAGTTTAGGTGCACTACTCGAACCCCCTTTTTTTTTTCTCTTGTGTAAAGCTCCTGATGTACTATTGTATTTTGCTGAGTGGATATCTTGATTTAACAAGACGGCATAGCGCTGGATCGCCTGTTTTTTTCTTTCTTGTCTTGGAGGGATATTTGTTTTGTTCGTAATTGTGGCATTTTTTAGGGGTCCCATACCATTTCCCTTTCTACTTGCAATACTTTTTTTTCTTCTCCCTACATTACACATCTTAAACTCTTTGTTATCCTCGTTATTCCTTTCCGTCTTGTAGATTGAATCGATTACTTTTTTTTTCTCTCTCCATCTCTAAACTATACACTAATTACCTATGTACCTTTTTTTTTCCCCACACAAAATATTTTTACCCCTTTGGATTCTAATGACTGGATGGAATCTTTGGGGGGGTTCTCTATATAAAAGGAACCGGTTTTCTTACCGGTTTCTTTTCCTTGATTTAACTTACTGCACTGGAAAAAAAATTTCAGAACTGGAAAAATATTAGCGTGTTTTCTTATGCTACTTCACGTGGTATTCGGGTGTTAGCTCAACGTGTAAATTTACTGCTTTGCTTGGCTCGAGTACGTATATATGTGTACTTTTGTTAGACTTCTAGCACTGCAATAATATAAACATATAGCATCTATGTGACTTTGTGCCCCGTGTGGTTATTTGCTCTTGATTACTAGACTCCTAATTTCTACATGTCTTATGGACACTTCACAGCTGGCTAGATTTCTCTTATTTGTTCGTATTATCCTGTTATTATTATTATTTTTCTAACTTTTTTTAAATACTGTTGGTTTTTTCTTACACAATATAAGAACTTGAGTGATCTTTAGAAATGAAAAATTCAGTCTGCATAGCATTTTTTATGCTTAATGCGATTTGTGGGTACTTTTGTATATTTGTATTTTTGAAAATTCTTTCATCTATAAGCTGGATGTTTTTTAGTCCATGATCGCGAAGAGTCATTCTGTTTGTTGACAACTATCTCTAGTTCCCCTTACCAACATATATATGTGCTGAACATCTTTTTATCTGCCCACAATAAATCTTACTGTGCACTTGTTATATACATTTACGCTAATTGGCGATGGTTTTTTTTCAACTAGCAACATGGACTTAGATGGAAAGAAGATATACAGAGTCTTATTGCACAATTATGCATATCGTGATCTATAGTTATGGTAGTTATGTGAGTTTCTTATATGGAAATCATAGCTTGCATATCTCAAGTATGTAAGTTAAACCTCTGTCTCGACTGTCTCTTGTGGAATTGAACAAGCACACATCTTTGGAGAAAATAGAATTACTCGATTCTGAATAATTTTACCAGTTCCCATCCAACTCCACATTGACCCACGTCCTCATACGCAACGGAGCAATTGTCTAAATCCCACCACCTACGGAGAAAGAACAATTCTTATATTTTCAAGCATTTGCCTACCTAGGGATGAAAGTCCACAGTAACGCAAATGCTCCACGTTAAAAGAGTGATCGCCTATGCTTCCTTGAAGGTAACGTTTCCATTTCCCGAAAGATATACCCCTCGCAAGAGAATCCGAGGAGAAAAAAAGATGAAGATCTGCAGAGTCCAAGAGGAGACTAGTAACTTACATTGTACACATCCAAAACGGGTATCCGAAAATACCGAGATCAACATTTGCATGTACCAAGAAGCGTAAGGCTCGAGTTCAACCCCGCCCACAATGCTGATTTCGCCCGTCGCGGTCAAAAAAGCATCCAGGATTTCTCTGCGTCATCGACTCTCTCTCACTCTCGCTCTCCGAGGAGGAAAGCGAGCCGGCGTCCGCATACCGAAACGTAAAGACAGAACCCCCTCACCCAACGCCAATAATATAGTTTAGCACGCAACGTGGGTCACAAAGTATACAATCCAGCCCCGAGTAAACAAGATTCGGGCGGGGGGAGGTGCGGGGTGGACAATGGTTCCTAGCCAAGGCTTTCAAGGATGATTGCGTGGGAAAGTCAGACGGGAATGGAATACCACAAAAGTAGGCAAACGCGACAAGTTCGGAAAACGAACCCTCATCCGGGGTCTTGGGATTGAATGGCCAAGGCCATATCTTGGGGAGTTGATAAAAAAGCGCCGGTCGCGGCAAAGTGGGGGGGATAGGCTGAGGTAATACGTACAATTATTGTATGTACATGCAAGTATATGGCGCCCGGGGTTGTGCGTGTGTCAATGTAGGACAACCCCTCGTACTCGGTCCAGAGAGCCATTCGCACCCAGTCGAGAGCAGGTTGGCCGAAAGCGTGGATGCGCCGAGTGGGTTTTTGTTTGGTACATGGTGCGAGAACACATGTTCAATAATGTGGGCGAAGCGGGCGGCACGGGGGGGCCATGTTGTTAGTATGTACGTACCTACTAGCTACGTATGTATGTATTGCTGACTGTATGTCACTATAATCTCACAGAGCAGGGGGATTTTGCTTGCGGGTGCCAGCATGCTATCTTTGGGAGCGAGGGCGAGATTGCGTATTCGTTGATGCAGATGCGCTGGCCAACTAGTCCTGTGACTGACTTGGGGACATGTCGTTGTGTGTTACCGTGAACAGTAAACGTTCAAATCTTATTTGCAATGCCTGGCTGTGGCTTGGGCTGAGGTGAAGCGGAGAGGGTACCGACGTGTTCGATTGGTGCCATTGATTTGCGGTGTGCTCGTAACCATGTACATGCGTAGGATCAAAGAGGTAGCTATGACGAGATGCAGTGGTAAGATGCAACCAGGGTGGTTGAATTGGCTTACCTTTGTGCAGCCGGGTGTGTGTGTGTGTGTGTGTGTGTGTGTGTGTGGCCTCACCAAAAGATACGTAGTACATACAGACACGACGACATCTGCCGACATGGCCACACTGCAAGCCACCGATAGACGTGGTGTAGCGAGGTGGGAGGAGCTAGGTGCTGGCGTTGGGCGCCGGGAATCTTTTGTACCATGGTGAGGTCTAGGCGCCATCAGGTCGAGGCTGGCGGTAGCAGTCGCGGTAGCATGTGCATGTGCACAGCAATAGTGACAGTCGCACTCAGGGCTGGCGAGTGGGCACTATTTTGGGAGCAAGGCGGAAAAGAGAAGGAAGCGTCGGTTTACTGTAGCAGCAGCCCACAGCCCACAGCCCACAGTACTATCGATAGAGGCAGGCGGCACCGACGATAATCGGGCCACTTCCGAAACTGTACTATGCGTGGTTGCATGCGGCTCCCTGGGGCGGAGTGGCGTCGCCGCCGTGTTTGGGAAAGAGACGACCAACTTACTGCCATATTACCTACATAGCATGTACACACTTGGCAAGTGCTCTGCAAAAATGAAAAAATGAAAGCGTCAGCGCACTTCCAACTCGTGTCCAGGCTCGGATCATACTTAATCATGTAAGTACAGGGTAGCGAAACGAGGTCGGACACCGTGCGGCGCAGGGCGAGGTACAAGGCAGTATACAAGAGCAGTACATGCCTGTTGCGCGCCGGGGCAGTGGGATGTATGGGATCGACGGCGGAAATTTCTCCTGGCTGGTGCGACCACCGATCGAGTCGTGACAGCGTTGTGGGACTGGCACGCGAATTGCTACAGGGCTACAGGGCTCAGGGAACACCGGATCGGACGAGGTCTCGGTTTGTGCAGCCCAAAGGGTGGCCCACGACGCTGCTGGATTGGGCGCCAGTCCAAGACACCCAAGGAGATCACCAGGGTGCTAATGGATTACCGAGGATGCTAACACACATGGACTATGACCATATGTACGTGTGTGCCTGGATGTGAAAGTCAACCCTGGCTGATCGCACCCAGGCCTGCCAGTGGGGAGAGTTTGCGCAGGCCCCGGGACAAAGCATGTTTGGTCTGGCTGTGGACGAGCGAGCGTGGACAAGGGACTACAATAAGTATATGGTAAGTAAGTAGGGTGTGGACAAACGTCTAGCCTGCCGTGGTGACATGTCTGTGTGTAGTAAGTATGTGTGTGTGTGTGCTGCATGTCGATTATACGATAAGGACCGAATCAAGACGTGCGTGAAACGCTGGCAGAGACGAGTTTGTAAAGCCATGCGTCGTGAGGATAGGGAACATGTCCACCGGCTAATACTGTCTCGTGCGCCTGGACCCCCAGCCTGTTCCTGTCAGTCAACGACTAGTAGAGGGAAATGGCTGGCTGCGGGACAAATTCTCCTTTCCGACAAGGTAAGTGGTCGTAAACCTCATCAGGCTGGGCCGGTCGACAGAGCCACAGAGTCAGCGGCACACTACTCACTTACTTGGCCTGGAGCCAAGCGGCTTCGCGGGCGTCCTTCCAGTAGTCAGGGCGAAGATCCACAAGCACAAAAGTGTTCCACGTGTGGACAGGGTTACCTCTCGCAGCTGCTGATCCTTTTTTGAGAAAGCAACCCTGGCCATTCGCTTCCACTAACATGGACTTCCGCTGCATGCTGCAGTAGCGTCCTCGAAAAGGGAATGCCAGAAGCCGTTCAGACCCACCTTCCCAGTTCCCCGCAAGCAATCACCTTGCCATCACAATTTCGACAAAGTTTTCTGTGCAGAGAGGTATGTCCACCACCTGTCAGGTAAGGGTTCACACTGGCAGCCATGTATCTTGGTATCCGAAAAAAGACGGCTTTGTTTGTTGATCCAGGCGCGCCTTGTGGTGCAACGGACAAAAGTATGTTTGGATGCGACCATGTGTGTGAGATGTATGGTTTTTGGCCTTGCAGCGCAACGAGGCTCAAAGCAGACTGGCTTGTCGAGCTGGTTGAGTATATGCGTGCAGTCGGTCAGTTTGTAGATACCGTATTGGTAACTCAGTTGGCTAGTCAGCCAATCAGTCAGGCCATATCAGCATGGGCTGGAGATCACAAGGTTTGAGAGCTCTCCATGTTGGCAATCTGCAATACCAAAGCTTATGGAGCAGCAGGTTTCAGAAGACAACAAAGTCTATGTACAAAGAGTGCTGCTTGAATCTTATCTATTAAGGAGCGTCATTGTGACGACGATAGACCAGCGAAAATCGCCTGTGCAAACAACGTACGTCCGTAAGTAGAGTATGTACGCACCCAGTGCCAACAAGCGGCGTCGCGTGGCTGTCGGCTTGTTTTTCCAGGGAGAAAAAAAGGAAAGACAGGACGGGGATGCCCTGGGCGATGTCTCAGGCTAAGTGCGATGCTTCAGCCCCTTGCCCAACTATCGACAAGGGAACCTTTTTGACGGCGGCCAATCAGAGGCGCGGCGGGCAGGGGATTTACTGCTTCATAGTCGCTGGCATAACGGCTGCATTCTGGCCAATGTGCAAAATGCCAGCGTTACGGCGTAAGCCTGAAAGCGGATAAGAGTTTCCTGGCCAACTCATCGCCCTAGCCATGTTGTGGGCGCGACATGACGCAGCAGCGCAGAAACAGGTCTCATGGCCGATGGGGCGGTATGTGGGCAAAGGCTGGCACTACAGCGGTGCCAGCGAGGCGCATCGGACGAGAGATAGAGAGAGAGAGAGTGTGTGTGTGCGTGCGTGTGCGTGTGCGCGTGTGTGTGTGTTGTGGAAGTGTAGACGGCTACGTGCAGGATCCGTGGGTTTGGAGGCGCGGAAGGCTGGGAGGGTTCCGGTAGCTTGCAATGGCGACGCGTCTGACGGCGCAGCGACCATGTCGCACTGGCACGCAGGAGCGACGCAGGCAGGTTCCGTGTCGGTGTGCGGTGCAGCCTGTGGGAAGAATGCTACATGGGTCGGCGACTCAGCGGCTGCGATCGTCTTCCAAAGCATTCGAGAACAAAACAGCCGAGCTGGGACGAGCATTTGTGTGTGACGTGGGGCGCGCAGAGGGAGCCGGGCATCGCTCTCATTACGGAAAGCGGGAGCCTTTGTTTTTTTGCAGTGGCTGGGAGGAGGGATTGGGGGTGCACGCCATGACGGCGAGTAAGAGTCAGGGTTGGAGAGAGGGTGGTGAGAAGGTTGAAGGGGCGTCGAGGGTTTGCTTTATGCGGCACAGTTGTTATCTAAGTATGAACAAATGTACACTAGGATGGTGGTTAGACGAAGGGGGGGGTGCGTGTGGATGTTGTGTGTGTGAGTGTGTGTGTTGGACAGTGGTGAGTGGGTGGTGGGCATGGCAGGAGCGATCCCACGTGGCGGAGCGAGACACGGGCGATACGGCAGACAAAGACGGAGACGGCAGCGGTTTACGGGATCAATTGGGACACACATCCACCCCATCCTCACGCATACCGTGGCCGTGAAGCTACACAGGGAATGGCGCGCCCGCGGCCACGATGCCTGTCGCAGGCTGTCCCGTCGGTGGCCATCCATTCATCCTGCCAGGAGCAGACTGGAACTCCACTGCATTCCCGGCGACCAGTCACCCGGCTGCACGGAAGCACACACAGGCGCGCGCGCCCATACACACACGCTCAGTCGCACATACATGCGCACACAACACCATACTCTGGCACTGGAGACGGAGGGTCGACGCCAGCACTCGCCCACACACTTTCTCACATACAACAGACAAGCCCATGCCTCGACACAGGGCTGCAAAAAAAAGAGCGAGCAGCACACAGGTGGTTATTCAGGAAAAAGGCCGCGGACCGCACCCGGGGAAGGACTCCCGAACGCCCGTGAGGCGTGTGAACCTTTTCTCGTTGCTTCTGGAGCCAACAGGAGGAGGCGGCACAGCGAGTCAATGCCAGGAGCAGGCTTCCTATCTACACGACACTGGGCGGAGGCGGCGGCGGCGCACCCAAGCGCGGGCGGGCGAGGGTGCACTGTTTGTGAGTAGGGCGTGGCCAGGCTTGTGTGTGTGTATGGGTGAGTGGGTGAGTGGGTGGCGGCAGAGGAAGCAAGCACGCAAAAGAGGCAACGACGGCAGCCGCCCTGTGTAGTAGGCAGTGTGTGCGTGTGTGTGTGTGTGGGTGTGCCCGGGCGAGTTGGGCCGACATGAGGGGGGGCGAGTCGAGAGTACTTACGGGCACTGTACTGTACGTACTACTATGCGTACGATTACCTTCACAGGCCATGTATGTGTCTACGTACTTACAGCAGCGTACTTACATGGATGGGCAGGTTGCAATGCCGGCGGTCAGCAGGCCCTGCTAGGCGGATGGCCATGTACACTACTGAGAGTGCCAGCGCTCGTCGCAGATGCCACGACGGCTGACCCCCCAGTCCAGCCGTTGGCGTGGCTCTTCGTAGCGCTGCAGGTACGGCCTTCTAGCGCGGCGCTACCACAGGGGGCATACCACCTCCGTGGATTCAGCGCGCAGATCACCCTGCTCCTTGCCCGCCCAAGGGAGCGACCATGAAACAGGCCGAAAGACCCGTCGCTCCCGGAACGTCATGTAGTCAGGGCGTTTTGCTTCCTGAAAAGCACAGTCGCTCATTTCATTTGTCTCGCCGACAAGCCAAGGCCACGTCTGGCAAGTCAGTAACAGGCCCCCTTATTCTAGCTGCGAATATAGAAGGCTAAAGGCGCCCTGTGGATTCACTTCTTACCCTCATCACCTTCACTCCCTTCCAGCTATCTACACTCATTCTTCTCCCTTGCCCAGTCACTGCCCGGCCAGTCCACTGGATCTCCACGCTACCTAATTCAGCGCCTCGAAGCCCTATCCGCTTGCTGCATCTCGCCCGCCTCGTCGACTCTTCCTCTCTCGCCCGTCTCCATCTGCCAGGGCTCTACTAGCACTGGCCAACTGTTCAGCCCTCGCTGACAAGCTGTATTCCTCAATCTGTACGTTGCCCTGCACACGCTCCTGCGCCCGGCCTGCCTGCCAGCCACGCCTCATCCAACACCGCGCTAACACCTATAAAGCACACGACACACCCGTCAACACCATGATCCTCAGAGAATCAGAGTCCAACAACATGGGCCGCGGTGCTTACGACACGACTGGCACTCCCAAGCCGTCGCCCACCACCACGCCGCCAACCAAATAAGACTCTCGTCATGGCCATCCCAACGGACCAATGCTTTTTCCCACCTTGTTGCTCCTTGCTTTTGATGGCTTGCATCAACGCCCTGCAATCTCATCCCAAGCAGCGCCTGGTCCGGTTGGGACCTGACCGATAGCACGTCGCGCACTGTACGTCACACCTGCCTCGATAAATTTGGAGTCACACATTAGCTTACACCCACCCCAGTCTCACTTCCAATTGCTCCCCAACGCCATCACGACCGAGCACTTCGCTGGTTCTACAGCGCCTTTGCTTCCGAGCCTTATTGAGATTACGCCCTTTTAATCACCCGCAACCCTTCCGATTCGATTCTTGACAGCAACCTAATACCCCCGCTTCCTCGGTTCCTGTTCCGCGTTTTCGAGCGCCTCTCACTCTTCTCACACGTTCAGCGACACTTTCTTACGGCAAAAAAGTACTCTTTGTTTTCACACGGCGTTCTTATAGACATGGTTGGGCCCAGGCATAGATACCAAAAACGGGACTTGGTTTTTTTGTTTTCTCTCTTTTGTCCTGCTTCGAGGACAAAATACACACGGTTAGATATCCATTGTCTGCCTTCAACGGCACTTTGTAGACATGGACTGTATTGTACTATAGCGCGTCGGGTTTGGGACTGCAGGCATTTGCCTGCATTGCGCGACGGTTCTGCGTTTCGCCACAACGCTCTTGACGAAGAGCATGTGTTGGCCCGCTACCCATGGTTTTTTTTTCTTTCTCTCTCTCTGACATTTAGAACGACTGCCTGGGCTTTGGTATCGGTGTCTCACAACACTACCCGCATCGGCTTAGACTAATCAACAATGTACTACTACTATAACTACTTGCCGCACCATATATGCAATGATGACTTGTCCGCGCTGTCATGTGTGAGTGTGACCCGCTTGAGCGGAACCCCTACCTTACCCTAACCCTCCCTGGCCATGCAGTGTATGTGAAAGCGGCAGGCTATGTCAAGGACCAGATGCTGTCTTGTTGTTCTGAGTGGTGGCTGCCGCGCGTGGCCCAAGAGTGGAGACGTGGCGACTGCACCCCACGAAGTCGGCGTCCCGATTTGCGTCCAGCTCACCGCAAGCTCCACCAGCCAGCACGACGTCTTGCTGTATCGTCAAACACCGCCATCTCACCCCGCCCCAAACACTCGACTCTCCAACTCCAAACTCCAAAACTCTCGCACCTGACCTTGGCTCCCTTCCGACACTGCCGCTCCCATCATGGCCACCGTCAATTGGCGCACCATCAACATTGATGCCCTAGACCCGGATAGCCCCGCCAACTTTGACCTGAGCTCCCTCGTCCCTGCTGTCGCACCCGTGTCGACAGCTGACGTGCAGAACAATGCGCAGCAGATACGGCAGCTGCTGCGGGGCGGAGACAATGAGGGCGCTCTGCAAAGCGCATTGGAAAACCCACCATATGGGGCCGACGACAAGGGAAAGGTATGTGTGCTGATGCTGTCACCGGTCTTCTCACGGCCGGGCCGAGCACCATTGAGCAAGTTCGATGTGTCTGACTGCCGCACAGGAGACTCACCTTGCCGTCGTCATTGAGATTCTGCAGTCGATAAGACAATCGGACATGTCACCAATCCTCAGTCGGATATACAGCTCGCCTAGCGGAACTGAGGCGCTGGACGTCTTGATGAAGTACATGTACGTGGGATACTGCACATAACACACATACACATCCATACCTGCCACACATACATGACCCCTACGGCACTTGGCACAGCAACTGACCGTCCTTGCTACAGCTACAAAGGCATGGCCCAATCGACGCCAGTGGCCACGACGCGCAACATCACACCTCAGCCCACGGGTTTCTCCCAGATCCACGCCCGTGGCGGTGGCGAGGGTGGCGGCCAGGCCATGAGCGTATTGCTCAGTTGGCATGAAAAGGTAGAAACCGTCGCGCCCTGACTATTGTTTGACGCCCATGCACTAACAGCCGGTAGCTTGTGGATATTGCTGGCCCTGGCTCGATTGTTAGGGTCATGGCTGATCGGCGTACGGTCTGAACTGGTGGTCCCACGACGGCACCTTTTATGATGTGCTCCAACAAGACAAGCTCGAGCGACTAAACTCGAGCCTAGTCGACGCAACAGCCCTCGTTGACAGGGAGACGCTCTCGGCTTGGTCAAGAGCAAGATCAAAATGCGAACTGTTCGACATGGCATGGCATGCCGTGCTCTCTCCAATGCTCTTCGCCATGTCGCCATATGCACCCTGTATGAGCCTGAAGTGACAGTGCACAAAGTTGGAGTCGACATATTGAGATGATGATGATAATTACAATAATAATTGTCAGGCACCATTTGTGTTTGGCAAGTCGAGTTGCTGGTGCATGGCAAGGATGCAGGACCCTGCACAAATGCGTGAAATATGCAGCCGCACTGACACGTCTCTTTTCTACCGGCCTCGCAGACGGCTTCTTCAGCCCTATTATGACACACGGCCACGTCGCTCCCCCAACGCGACGAGTCTTCATTTCGCGGACACGGGGAGTCACGATGTTAGCGTGCGCCTTCATCATAAGGGGCCGCACACTCGACCACGCGGCATAGCTTCCACGCGAAGCCCACTAGCGCCACGTCCAAGCGCCTTCTTCAGCTGCCACAAGCGGAAAAGACCTGATGAACGCTAGTCTTGCGTTGGGCGCCGTTGCGAGATGAAACACGCTCCCTGGTGCCCGTCGATTCCTTTCCTTTTCCCATTACCACCCACCCCGACATTGAAACAACGGACAGCCGACCGAGGTTAAACAACCTGGCCAAGACTACTCTGCTCCAAAAGTAAACCTGTTCGTCTCTCCTTATCGATTAGCTATGTGCAAGTGTATCACAAAAAACGCAGTACGGTGCTTTTGGCCCCCCCCCGTCCGACGCAGCTCTCGTCGCCACGAGAGCCATGTCCCCGATGTAATTTTCCCGCCTGCAGGGTAATTGTGGTCACGGGTAAGTATCGATGCGCAAACAAGCTTCTGGAAGGCCAATTTCGGCTTCTTTCTAGTTTCCACCATAGGGCTGTGTGAGCCCATGTTTAATAAGAAAAAAAAGTAGAGCCCGTCCGCTCTTTCCCAAGTGGATCACCCTCTAAGCAGTTAAAATCATTTCCGTTACATCTCTTTCTGAAGCACACCACTCTACTGTAGACATGTACACTATACAGCGGCGCCGGGGGGGGGGGAGAGAGGAAACAATAAAGTACAACCAGGGAAAAACTTGCATAAAACAAGAAGAAATAATAATAATAAAAGGTTGGACATGGATATTATTCAAACGGCAGAAAACCCTTTGTGATTTGTCAATCCGGTGTTCAAGACCGGAAACTTGACCCTTTCTTTTTTTCTTTTTGCCCAAACACGGGTTACACGCTCTCTTTCTCTCTCACACACACACACTTACACATGAGTCGGTGTTACATTTTCCTCTCCCATCCCCCATCCTTCTGCGACACAGTAACAGCCCAACCCAGCCCACCCCTGGCTTCCGCGCATCATCCCACCCCCCTTCCCGGCGCATCATCGGCATGACGATCGGTCCCATCTTTTTCCAGTGCCAGCGCGACATGTGTGTGTATGTTGTGTGTCTCAGCTCACAACATGACGGGCTGGGCTGGGCGGGCAGGCGTGTGTGGCTGTGTGGTGGTTGGAAGTTTTTTTAACTAGCCCTTTGACACTTTTTTTTTTTGCTTAGTACTTTACTTCCTTTCCATCCATTTACACACACACCCTCTCTCTCTCTCTCTCTCTCTTTATTACACATACGCATGCATGTTCATCATCAGCCCACACATGCATCAACATTGTTCGATCCTGGAAAGAAAAGAAGAATGAAAATTCCCGGGTCCCGGGTATCGAGCCCCCCCTTCCTCTTTTCGCTTATCGGAGATGTGCTTGTTTGGAGGGGGGGGCAACCGTGCATATACATACGTAGCTTTTTACCCTTACTTTTACTAACCCCAATCTTTTTTCTAAATGCGGTGTGTGTGTGTGGAATGGAGTGGGTAGGGTATGTATGCAAGTAAGTGTAAGGTGAGTAGGGATGTTTTTCACGTGGCAAAATCGGGGGGTTCGCCCGATGATACTCTGTGTGTGTGTGTGTGTGTGTGTGTGTGTGTGTGTGTGTGTGTGTGTGTGTGTGTGTCTATGGGCGTATAGGATTATGTGTCAAGCAACGTAGACTGTGCCTTACTCAATCTTATTTTTGGATCGTCTTTTCTAGGTTTCTTCCCATTCTTTTCTTAAAACCCTTGTTGTCTGTCTGTCTGTTCCCTTGTTGTTGGGTTTCTGGGTTTTTCTTTCGTCTTTGCTTTCTTTTTTCCTTTTTGGGAGGTGCTCCGGTGGATGGTGGTTACTGCGCCACCGCCTTCCGCTTCTTCCTTCTCCCCCTTTGTCTCAGGTTCCGTCTTTTATGTGTGTGGCGGGTAGGCGGGAGTGTATGGGAACCAGGTTTGGTATGTCAATCACACTCCCATACGCTGATTTCCCGGGGCTTCATTTTACTTTTGCCGTGTGAGATGTGTGTGGGATTCTTTTGAAGGATTTTGTGTGGGATAGATGTTCGGTGGGAGGAAAAGCATTGGGGTTCAGTAATCATGTTTATATGTAGCGTAGATTGATCGGTTATCTGGCATGCGGGTATGGCGTGATGTTCGCTTTACCCTCTTTTTTTCTTCCTTTCTTCTTCTCTGCAGGTTCCCACGTGGTGGGTGGGCGCCGTTTTCTTTTGGAGGGGGAACGCACGATTGGGGACCCTTACATACGTAGGTGTGCTTTCCCTGCTTACGCCACCTGCGACTGTTGCTGCAGAGAAGCAAGCGTTTCCTCGCTACAGTCATGGTTCCTTCACCGTTTACGTGTGTGTGTGGCTGTGTTGGGCGGAAATGGCCGAAAGGGTATTGCATACATGTGGAGTTGACGCGAGAAATTACGTCTTTACCACTCTGCTCTATCTGTAAAGAAGCACTTCTTACCAGTCCAATCACCCATCACCTCTTCTCAGCATCTGCATTCTTTTTCAGACCTGACCCTCATGTAGGTTGTTACTAGCATAGCTTGGTAATCGATCAGATCACAGAGTAGGTGTGATGACTGGAGAAAAAGAAAAGCAAACAAGAAGCAGTGGTAGTCAGTCAATGAGTAGACTACTCATTGCTTATCGTTGCTGACTCTCAACATCTGCACCGCTCTCCTTAGCATCCCTATCATTCAACTTTGCAAATCCTAACTTTTCAAGCCCCCTTTCCCGCCAACGTACATGGGCACCTTTCGACCTTCTTCTTAGCGTGTCAAATCATTAAGAAGTATAGCGAATGAGTTCAGAATAGGCTTTCTTCTTGCATCTCGACTATGAGTCCCAGTCCCATCTCTTCGTATGTTGAACCAAAACCAGGTGACTCGAGTAAATGGCAAAGAAACTTTAGAAAAGGGGCTTAGGAATTTCTTCATCTAAAACTTCTATTGGGTATCAAGATAACTTTCAGAAACGCCCATTACTCGAATCATCGCTGCTTAGAACAAGATGATGAGGCTGTTTCTGGTGTTCAAGTCTTCGTTCTGCCGTTTCCAAGCCATTTTTACAACAACGCCAGTGCTGTTCATGTACCTCAATACTTCCAGGTAGATTGGGACACCCCAACACAGATTCCTTGTCCCATCTATACCGCACTATCCTGTGACACATGTGCCTGCACCGGCCGTGCAACCTCCACATCTTCATCTTTCTCCCCAATCCTATTCTCCACTTTCTCATTCCTCGCATGCGTAGACATAGGCCCAAATGCCTCAATATGAGCAAGTGAGTGCCAGAGTAGATAGGTACTATGCATCAATCATCAGCCTCATCCTATCACACCTCCACCAAACCCCCTCATCTGAAGTGGAGTAAACTTACCTCCAAAACGTAAACACCATCCCCACCCAAAGCAACACCACACTTGCCACCGCCCTCCCATTCCGCCGATACAGCATCGGACTCCCTCCATACGCATCCAGCAACCTCCGTGCCTCCGCCGGACTCACACCCGTAACGTATGCGCTCTTCGCAGCCACAACATACGTATACGCCAGTGCGCATGACAGCGTAAACGTGCACGCTAGCACGGAGCAAACCCTCCACGCCGTTTTCACAGCGGCAGACTCGCGCCGCTCCGGCCAAAACAGATCGAAGAAGAACGCCGCACCGAATATCGTAGCGACGAAAATACCAACGAAGATGTTGTACGAAGCTATCCCTACGAAATTGTTGTTGTGGACCGTTGCATTCGGGTCGAGATGTGCGACGTATCGTTGCTGGGTAGTGTAATCTATCTACTTGTTAGAACCCAGAAAGTCCGTGTAGAGAGATGAGGATGGGCGAAAGGAAGGTACCAGATAACGCAGCCGTCCCTAGCGATTCGCTCACAACCGTGAGTATCATAGCGAGTTGATACACGATAAACCTGGTACGCCGGCCGTGATACCGTGAATTCCACATGTTGCTTGATTTGAACTTGCCCCATTGTATCTCGTGGAGGTCAAGGCCCCAAATGACTGCCATGTCTACTCTTACTCAGCTCGTTCGATATTCTTCGTAGAAAGCGCTGCCAGTCCGACTTTGAGGGGGTCCTGAATACAAGTCAAGAATAAAAATTCGATAAAACTCCCTTCATCCACTGAGCAGATGCAAGAAAAAATAAAATCCCAGGAAAAAAAAAAGGAAATAAATCACGAGTACTACGTAGTTTGATCCAGAGAAACAAACAACCACGACTACCGACCCAAAGCCTTCCTGCACTCCGTCATCGCCCCCTGCCAAAACCCACACACACGCATTCATCGCACCTCTCATCTCTTCTTTATCCCCACTCACACTACACTACTCTCCCTTTCCATCGCACATCCCCACACCCACGCCTACGCCATGGCTTCTTCGCCAAAGCTTATCACTTCCACACGCAGGCAATCGCCGCGCCGCACAAGCACCCACTTTTACCCACGCATACGTATGCGTACATCTGACCCGGGGGTTCTCGGCGACGAGACAAGCAGGTGAGATTGATTGGAAGGAAGGTGTTCCTCAGAGGGGCAGGGGGGGGGGGGGGGGAAGATTGACATCATAAGAGGGTGGAAATGCGGGCGGGAGCTAGATTAGTGGCGAAGGCTTGATGGGTGGGGCGATGAAGTCATTGATGGGTGGGTGCGATGGTGAGGTGGTTGGTGGGGGGGTTTGTGATGGAAGCGAGGGATGGAGGGGGGTGCGATGATTAGGTGTAAGAGGGGATTTGATAGGTGCTGTTTAGAAGATTTTTTTTTGGAAGGGAATGTAGATGTGCGTACGAGGTGAGATGTACTACCATAATAGAAGTATGTGACATTGCACATAATAACATAGATACTTCGTTACGTACTGCCGAACGCCTCGTAACAAGGCACACTAACCTTGCCGTAGCTGTACAACTTACCCGTCAATATACATGGGCGATTCAACTCATTATCCATATCATACACATATTCCGTTCATACACGAAAATCTAACCTCTAATGCACCATAGTCTCCAGCGTCCCAACCGGCCGCTCAACAATATCCAAACACCCATCCACAATGCTCTTCCTCGCATCCTCCGAGCTAACATTCTGACCCCCAAGGTACAGCAGCCAAACCAGACGACTCACCCTCTCATCCTCGACTTTGCCCAGCCACGTGGGCGTACCCATCTTTTCCTTCTTCTCAACCTTTACAATAGGCTGGTACAACGCACCAAGCGTCCCATTCTTGCTACGTGTCAAGATGATAACGCTACCCTTTGGCGCCTTACCCTTGCCCTGGAATATATTCCTAAACTCCTTCATGGCAAGACCGAACGCCTCGTCTTGAAACTCGCCTTCTTCAACGGGTTTCGGGAGAGCGATGGTCTTGTTCTCGGCAGCCTGCTGCCTGAGCAAATCGGCCTGCTTGCGACGCACCTCGTCAGTACGCGATGCAATACCGCGCATCCAACCGTCTTGGAGGTGTTTGAAATCTGTGCCTCGGCAGGGTACAACGCGGAACGCCATGTCGACGCCACTTGTGCCGCGGCTATCAAGAATGGCTTCCCAGATCTTGTTGCTCTTGTCCGCGTCAAAGAGGGAGTCACGGAGGGCTTTCTTTTCATCTGGAATCAGGGCTGTGGCAGTGGGGTTGACGGTGTTGATGAGGTGGTTTTGGAGGGTTGATAGATCGGCTGTCTTGACGTACAGTCCAACGACGTAGACTTGTACGCGCAGAAATGAGACCTTTCTGATGCCCAGGCCCAGCAGCGTGTATTCTGCGTCGCTCTTGACATGTTCAGGACCCGCAGTGTTGGTAGGCAAGCGGATTGTACGAGGAAAGTAAGGAACATAGGATGTACCGGTCTCAACGAGCTCAATGGCGTCTGGATGTGATGCTTGGGGGTTGTCTGCGTCGGCGGGTGCAGCAATGACCTTGTCACCCGCTGCGACGACAACCTTTTTGCCTTGAAACTCGTCGGATGCCTTCCTAGGCGCATCGGTCTTGGTTGGGGGTCCCAGTACTAGCTCTGCTGCGGATCGGCTTGAGCTTCCGTCTTTGTCGCCATCAACTGGCTGTACATCCCACAAGCGCACAAGGAAGATGGGAGCAATCATGGACAAAGCCGCACCGAGCGCCAGCCAATTGCGCCTGCGCGCATAAGCAGCCCGGCGAACGGCCTCTGCGCGGTGTATCGAGACAAAGTCCTCATCTGTGCGGGGGCCTTTGGGGCGAGCATTCTGCTTCAGCACAGCTTCCAGGTCTGAGGCGGGAGAGCGCGAGTTGTACCGGGCCTGGGGGCGACATCGAAGTGGCGCCGGGGAATTGAGACAGCGGAAGACGGGACGTCTCGCAGCGGATCGGATGGCGCTCATGGTGGGTGTATGAATGAGTGCATGAGTGCATAGAGTGACCGTCCATGCAGCGGCATGCACCGACGTATGCGCGCCAAGACTTGCAAACACCGCGGCGCGCTTGGGCCATGCATGGTTCGGCTCGATGATGCGCCTCGCCTCGTGCATTCAGCCCTACAGGCGGGGGGGGGGGGGGCCTTGAGGGCCGACGCCAACGTCTGACCTTCCTCTAGTAAGTCAGCTACTCACGCACGTGTTCAACTGCATAAAATGGCTTCTCGGAGGGCCAGACTAGAGGAAGAGGCGGACATGATGGACGTATCAGAGGTTCCTGACGACCTTGACGGAGACAGCGGCGCAGGGATTGAAGGCGTGCAGCACCTGGCCAAAGGCCTAGTCCGATACGCCTTGTCGTGTGAGCATTCACGTCGGCCCATTAAGCGGCAAGACATTAACGAAAAAGGTCTGCACTTGCACTGCCTGATTGCTGTGGTTACCGTGTCTACGACTCATGCTAACAGCAACAGTGCTTGGTTCCCAGACCCGGCTGTTCAAGCAAGTCTTTGCACAAGCCAACAGCCAGCTCATGGATGTGTTTGGAATGCAATTAGTTGAACTGCCCAAGGCCGAACGCGTAACGCTGCGGCAAAAGCGCGGTATGCATTATAGCCATGCCTAGGGCATCGTTTATTTTTGTCTGACCCACCTCTACAGCAGCCGCCGCCGCATCACTAGCATCGGATTCCCAAGCAAAGTCAACCAGCGTGTGGGTCTTGCAGAGCATCTTACCCAGCCAGTACCGAATACCCGAAATCGTGGGCCCATCACGGCCACTTGAACATGGTATGCCAAACAAGGAAGACGCCTACGTTGGTCTGTACACTCTTACCATCGCTCTCATCACCATCTCCGGAGGCATGATGCCAGAAGGCAAGCTCGACCGCGCTCTCAGGCGCATGAATGCAGAGCAAACCACGCCCGTGGGTAGTAAAGACAAAGCAATAGCTGCCATGGTTAAAGATGGGTACATTGTGCGTGTCAAGGAGACTTCGGGCGCAGGTGATGAGACGGTCGATTATATTGTTGGCCCTAGAGGCAAGGTTGAGGTTGGTCGTGATGGTGTCGCTCAGTTTATACGAGCGATGCATGGCCAGGCTGAGGATGAGACTGAGCTTGAGAGGCGGATTCAGAGGACTCTTAATGTAGCTGACGCACATAGCAATAGTGCACCCGCAGCGGAAGCGAACTGAGTATGTTTTAGTCTCAGCCTTGAGTTGCCACAGGTGAGTGACGGAGGATATCTAGAGTTACGGGAGACTCAATTGCATACAGATATCCTACAGGTGGTACTTAGCGCTGTACATTTATCTGTCTTGTTTTCTTGTATATATTTGTTAACGTATATGCTAAGAGACTAGTCCTACCTTAACAAGTGATTCTAAAGAATTGCTGAAATCTGACTTCAGTATTCATTTTTATACACACACGGAAGCTCACTTCACCTATACGTGGCATGGCATATGTTGAGATTCATGAGATGTATACGTATATATATTCGTTAATGGCGGATTCACAACAGCCTTCTTCCAATCATAATCCTTAATCGTCTCTTCGTCTCTTCTCTCTACATGCTCCACGTATGCATTGCGAGTCAAAAACGCCTCCACATCGCACCTTATCACATAGACATAACAGTATTCAACATCTTACAGGCTCAGTCCATCCGCAAGAACAGCACCGTACCAGATCATGGCGCCAAGTCCAATCAGGTTGACAACGGTGCTGATACCGTGCAGAATAGCAAACTGCTTGTTGAGCGCCTGCATCTCCTTGCTATGGGGCCCATTATCATAGCTCTTCTTGCCGTCCCGCGTCTCCTGGTGCTTCCTGATGCCCATAATCTCAGTCGTCTTGGGTCCAATGTACACCAAGTTGGCCAGCGCAGTCACAAACATAGTGGCGTGCAGCCAGGCAGCGAGCTTGTTCGTGGATGCGGCGGGAGTGGCGGGCGCGAAGAAGGAAAAGGACGGAGGGGGATTGGCGGCCGAGGCAGGCTGGAGGAACGAGGGCAGAAGAGAAGTAACGCCGCCGCGGGGGTAGGTCAACAGCATTGCGACGGGGAGGGCAGTCTGCAGGGAAAAGTAGACGGGAAAGGTGTGTTTTTGCAGCTGGGCGAACTGGGAGCGGGGCAGGATTCTGTAGGCGATGACGCCAGCGGCGAAGGATTGGTAGAGCGTGGAGCCGAGAAGAGTGCCATAGCTGCGTGTTGTGTTAACATGAATGCGACGGGGTGGTAGCGGCGGGGTTGTGGTGAAGGTACCTCAGCAAATGGTAGGTCGGCGGGTTTTTGAACGACGATAGCGACATGGTGGCGGTGTTTGGCAGTCCCAGTCGTGGTGTGGATGTGATGGTGGTGTAAGCGTCAAGCCAATGTGTTGTGGTGTATGAAGGAACAGTCAAAGACGGCCACCTGAGGCTCAAACAGCGATCTTTGCGTCCTCGGCAATTGATGATCTCACGATTGGTTTGGACGCGTCCATTTCATCCCTGCAAAGCGGGGCCCTTGCATGTCCGTCTGCCCCGCCTTCAGATTCCGTCGTGTAGTGCCGCCACACACGCGCATCATTCAGCCGCATAGTAGACACACGACGATCCAACATCAATTGGCGTCCGAGACTGCCATCCCATATTCGTCGCAATGCCTATGCGCCTACCCTCGCTCATCAATCTCCGCCGCCCCGCCGACGCGACTCTCACACCGGAAGACATCTTTGGCTCATCGCTAGGCGGTATTTTCACAGACGACCTGCAGAACCAGCACGGAGATAACCCAGAAACCCTCATTCTATATCAAAATCACAGGTATGGCGAGCTGGAATTGAGGACGGCCGACTTCAATGGCGAGGAGCAAAGGCGCAAGTTTGCCCACTACTTGTGGAATGCCGGTATCATGATGGCAGAGTTGGTCACTGGACGGCTTAGGGATGAAGAAGAGGAGTCTTTTAAGAAGACGGAACACGACGAGTTCACACGCTGGGAGAATGGCCAGTGGTGGACTAGTGAAGAAGAGGAGGAAAAATGGAGTGTCAAGGGCGAGTCGGTATTGGAGTTGGGCGCAGGTGGGTTGGATTGAAAAGACATGACTGTGAGTAGAGGGCTGATGGTACGTCGCCCGATCAGGCGTAGGGTTGGGTGGGATGTTGAGCGCATTGGCGGGTGCCAAAGAGGTTTGTGGTTATCTATCTGGTTGCGCGTGTGCCTGAACTGACAGTCTGCTAGGTCGCCATCACTGATTACCCGGCACCTCCAATCCTCGATACCCTCAAGGCGAACGTTGCAAAGAACCTCCCGGCTACCCTACAATCCCATGTAACTGTTCAGGGTCACGAATGGGGGTCCACTTCCACAGCCTTCGAATCATCGCATGCCCATACCTACACGCGCATACTTGCAGCAGACTGCTTCTGGATGCCTGGAGAGCATGAGAATCTGGCAAAGTCGATGATACACTTCCTCGCAGACACGAATGACGCGCGTGTATATTGTATCGCGGGTTTCCACACAGGCCGTGCTAAGGTCGCACCCTTCTTTGAGGAGGTTGTACCAGAGCAAGGCCTCGAGATCGAGGAGATATACGAAATGGACGCAGATGGACAGCGGCGGCCGTGGGAAAAGGAGCGCGATGGTGGCCTGGAGAATATGGGCGAGCGGAAAAAGTGGCTCATCGTTGCGCGATTACGGCGACCCGTTCGATCATAGCAGAGAGCACCGCTCACACCCTCTTGAAGCAGAGCGTAACCACGCTGCTCCCTGTCTTGCCCCCAAACGTGAAACTCGGATATTTGACCTTGCCATCAAACTGCAATCCTCCGCCCCCAAACCACTCTTTCAGCTCCTCCTCTGTCCAATTGCAGCTCGTGATGAGAAACCTCCCCCCTCTCTTCACCAGCGGCTCAACCTTTTCCCTATATCCTTCGCATATCCTGCGCCCTTGTGCATCCTGCTCTTGTGACAGGCAAATGGCATCAAACGTGCCCTTATCCAACACAACATCGAAACCCTCGCCCAACCACGCACCAGGCGCCTGTGACAAGATATCCCACTCATAAAACGCAATATCCGCATATGCCTCGTCTTTCGCGTCACGAATCGACGTCGCAAGCGTAACGCTCTCCGTCGAATAATCCACACCAACCATTTCTCCGCTCCATTCGTCCTCGCGCAACGCAAATAGCAAGTGTCCGTTCCCCGTGCCTAGATCTAGAAATCGCGCGCCCGTGTTTTCTTCATCGTCTTCTTTGTGAATTTGACCTTGGTCACTGAGGTCTTCGAGGAAAGATAGCATGCGTTCCTCGGCACCAGCATCACTGAACCAGATTGTGCCTTCGTCTGAGGCGTTTGCGGCAAAGTTTTTGCGCTCCGTAGTGTAGGCTGCGTCCCAGTAGGATTTTGTGCCTAACTCGGAAGGATCGAGATGCGTCGGGGCTGTCATTTTTCGTATTCGGATTGTTTTATTTTCTGAAGGGTGGAGACGACCAACGCGAAAACAAAGATTGTGGCGGTTGATTGTGGGCGAGGATGGGAAACTTTTGGAGGGGCAATTGTTAGTTCCTGATACCCCCGCGGTGCCGGCTAGAATGCTCTTTCAGGAACCAGGCAGACTAGACGCATGATTGCTTGGGCTTGATCGCCCTTTATTTCCGCATGCTCCGAAATAGTATTCTTACATATCCGTCGCTATGATAAGATGGAAAGTGTCTCCAAAGTCACACGCCGATATGTTTGGCCGTTTAGAGTCAACAGCTTGCAGATACACGAACAATTCTAATTCTACCAGGATTTGAAACGATAATCTTTACGGAGGTAAATAGACACCAATTAATATTTTGCAGATGTCGTAGAATACCAAAGATATTACCTAATGCGTTACTACAGCTTCAACCATCACAATCAAAGGCACCAGCCCTAAGCTCAATTCACCCAACTCACAAAACCCTCACCACAACGGATCATTCCGTCCCCAATACAACAAACTCGCGCCAATCGCCAAACTATTGAAAACCCCCACATAATGCCCCAGAACCTTATCCCTAACCCCATACCCCTGCACAATCACCGTATCCGCAACCGTCGCTACCAACCCCGCCAAAACCGCAACACCCAAGCTCCTCCGGTCCCGCAGCAACAACCCAAAAACCGCTAGTAAAACCCCATTTTGCACATTGCGCGCTGCGATTGCTGCTACGAGGGCTTTCTTTGTGTCTTCGTCTTGTTTGCTTTGTGATGATGTGGATGTAGATGTGCGCTTTGTAGATTTGGAAGAGGTGGTGGATGGGAGTGGGGTTGTGTTGGTGATTGGGAGACCGTAGCCGGCGGCGAAGGAGGTGGGATTGCGTAGGCCGAGGAGCCCGAAGGGCAGGATTTCGAGGGTTGCGATGAAGAGGGCGAGGCATTCGGCGGGGGGAGGTAGGTGGGAGAAGAGGTTGCGCGGTTGGAATGACATTTTGGGATAGTTTGGCCTGGGACGGGTGGAGGTGAGTAAGTGCTATGATGTGAAGGGAATTGATTCTGTTTCTCTTCGCGTAAGGTTGATTGTTTTTATTTACGAATATATGTTTATGCAGTCTTCATCGCGTGTTTGTTGGCTGGTGCGGCTCGGACTTCGGATGCGGGGATGAGAGTTGATTTGTTCGTTTGCGTCATATTTCGAATCTGTAACATAAATGTAAGTAAGATTGTGTTGGCCTGCAGCTTGTTTGTTTACTATTCGTGTTTGAACTCGAATTAGACCTCGGGCTGATTTCGAGAAAGTAGTTCAGTTGTGTTGTTTATAGTTCACAAGACGCAAAACCTCATCCACGTCACACTGTGTACGCATTGTTCACTGTTTCATATAACTTCCTATTTCTTGACTGTGAATTCACACATTTGATGTATTTCTCATGAATGCGAGGTTGAGAATGCGAAGCCAACCACTTTCAGTGGTACGGTGTTGCAGAAGAGTCGGAACGCCATGGTCAGATTGGAATCGGGGAAATGGATCACTTTTGCACAGCGGGGTGACTTGATATTCCTCTATTACAATGTTCAAATTCAGAGTATGGATCACTGTGTCAATGAGAGTCGAACGGTGAACATGTCGTCACGTGTCAGTCAGTCAATTCCCACCAGCCACTTCACGACAACTCGATTCTGATTTGAGCGTGATCGCAAGTGTTTGTTGGCTTTCCAAGGTTCATACCTATTCAAGTGAAATGTATGCAGATCGTGAATTTTGGTGCTTTCACAGCTAAACTGTAATCTCCCTGCAAGGAAGGTCCATTGTGTGACGCGCTTTCCTACCTTCACTTGATTCACAACGCGGTGGAGCCTGCGTTTGTACTTTCACTTACTTGAAAATTTGTGCACTCACAGTCACGTTACAATCGCTCTCTACTCAGTATTTGTTCAATGCTTATTCTCCCTCTTTACTACCCATCAACCACACTTCTTACTCAACTCACTTCTGCTACTCGCTGCTCAAGTGCTTTCCTCGTGGACTCGTCACTCCCTTTCGAACAACAACTTTTCGGTATCCCAACAATACGCGAACATCGCATTTCTTCTCAAAATGTCAAATGGAAATGCTTTCTGGGCTGCTGGCAAGCACATCGTTACCTCTCCGAATTCCCCCACTCCCACATCTGTCGAAACACCAAACAAGTCAAACAATAAGTCTCCCACACAGCAGAAGAATGGGTTAGTCTCCAAGAATAGGAATAACGGAAGTGTTAGAGACGGCCGGAGCAATAGTAATGGCGTTGATCTTGCCAGTGCCGGTATCAAGAAGGCATCTTGGGCAGATGAGGAGGAAGATGAGAGGTTTCTCGCCCTGTTGGTATCCCAGAAAGACAACCCGGTCGTCTCTTCCCTAGGGACGACAGTCAATGTCAAGGATGAGTTAATCGAGGAACTGGAGGCGACTATTGTCACCAAAGATCTTCGCATTGCCGAGTTGGAGGCTGCCTTACGAGACAGCCACGGACAGATTGAAGAGCTTGAGGAAGGGATGCAAGTGAAAGGAAACACTGTCAAGAAGTTGGAGAAGGAGAACCACGTACAATTCCTCCAAATACAGGAGCTGCACCGTGAGTCTACCGAGAAGGACGAGCGGATTCAGAGCCTGGAGTCAGCACTGAAGCGACTCACTGCTACCCAAGACCTTCAGCAGACGTCCTCTTCAGACATTCAATCATCCACTAAGAGCGATGATGTAAAGAGCACTGAGATTGTCAAACCCAAAGCCAAGACTTCTTCGCCAACTGTTGCTCAAAAGAAGTCTGAGAGTGTCAAGACGCCAGAGCCCAAACAGGCTATTTCCAACGTCACCGAGCTTGCCTCCACTGGCAAGACCAAAGATGACCAGATTGAGAGGTCTGTTAACGGCCCATCATCTCACGACATCGACTCCCCGACATTCGTGACGAAAGAGACTTTGAAGGTTGTGCCTCCTGTTCCCAAGCCAAGGGTATTGATATTCCCCATCGATATGTCTAAGTACGGGAAGAAACCTGCTGTTGCTGTGGCTACCAAGAACCAAGGACAATCCCCGAGGTTCATGGAAGGCAAGGGCGGTCAAACTACGTCGTGGAGCCGATCACCAAAACAGGCACGTGTCAAGACAGACGTGAAGCCCAATTTCAACCCTTCTGCTGACATTCGACACATGTCGTCTGCTCAGCGTGTTCTCTACGGAAACGGTCCAGACGTTTCCGTCAAGCTCGGAGACGTCGAGCTCAAGACCCTTCCTCAGTACATCCTGATGCAGTGCTCCGGGAAGGCATTCCTTCACTTCACGACCAATCCGGGCGCAACCTCGTGGTCGTTCCCTGCAGGCTCAATGGACGCAGACGCCGCCAAGTCCCTCCTTAACTGGATGGACGAAATGACATACCAGGGCCGTGTCTACTCCGTCACACTGAACTCGGCACCAGTGAATGACCAAAGGAACATCCAGATCTGCCGTGCCGCTCGCCTGATGGGCCTCAACAACTCATACGTCGGTCACTTCACCAAGCACTTTTGTGAACGTATCCGCGACAAAGACGTCCCTTACGAGTTGTCGGATCTCGTATGTAAGTTTGCCTATCCCGAGAACGACCCAGTCTTCGATTGCCTGGCCAACAAACTGGCCATGCAAAAGGCGGCTGGCAGTGTGCAGGGCCGGGCAGTATTGGAGAAGCTGGCTGCCACCTACCCGGTACTGAGGACCACGGTGGAGAAGATCGAGCGGAAGATGGGTGCTACTCGAGCACGCAAGTAGGGTGGTACCAATATGGCCTGGTACGGTTTTGAGGAGGAATGATTGCGTCGGTGTTTCTTTTTCTCTTTCTCTTCTGTTTGTTGATTTGTAGGCTGGAATATATATATATACAGCTTACAATGTGGGGTATTTAGAGCGATTCTTGAGTCCTCATTTAAAAGTGGAAGGGGGGCACATAGGACATATACTTTTCCCACTAACTATTCCAAACAATGATAACTCGTTTTCCATGCATCGCCATCTCACCAAACATGCAAACTTGAACAAACACCCAAAAACATCTTCATCAATCAAATCGCACAAACCAGCCTTTCCTCTTGGAAAGCAAAAACAAGTTTCTCATTATGCATTTCATGTTTGCATTTTTTTGGAGCAATCGTCAAATCTCTAACATCTACACTCGACGCCTTTACGACTAACACAAAGATACTTGACACCCTTGTACGGCGTAACACCACTTCCCAACCCCTTACTCTTCCTCTGATCAACATTCAGACTCTCGACCTTGATACCACTCGGCAACCAACCTTTAACCGAAAAGCTAACCGTAGCACAACTCGGCATCAAGACTTTGTTCGCCTGCTTGATCTTTGCGTCGGAGTCTGGTTTACCAGACAGGCCAGACGGCGCAGGGAGACCGGAGTTTGCAGAGGAAGAAGTGTTATGTGCATCGTCATCGTAGTCATATGTTGATGTGGAGAACGAGACAGGGCCGCCTGCATCGATGCCGTCTTCAGCAGAGGGATCGTCTTGTCCGATGACGGTGCCGCGGAGCGTGGCTATGACGCCCATGCCTGCGCCGCGGTCTTGCGACATGAGGGTTGTTACCTCGCGGCTGCTAACGCGCCACTCGATGGCTCGGTCGCCAGGCGCGTAGCCGGCGTCGCCCATGCCGCGGGCAACGCGGATATCGACTACGTTCTTGACGGTTGCAGGCAAGGGGATGTGAATGACCATTTCCTCGATGGCGGGCGCCGACGTAGTGCCAGTTGAGGATGAGGCGCGCGCCAAACTAGCTTTTGCGGCGCTGGATTGCGACGAGGATTTGCCAGCGAAGCGGGGGTTGATCTGAAGTTTTACTTCAAAGTCTGATCCGGTTGGGCCGAGAGATGGATGGACTGAGACGGTAGCGGGGATACTGAGCTTGGGCATAGCGTTCCTGGCTGACTTTTCCGATGAGAAGGCGTCCAGAGCGGATGAGCCGAGTAGGTCGACTTCATATCCTGCCAGCACAAATCGGCCATCTGGAGGGACGAAAGACAGTTCTCCGGGCCGAGCCTTCCATTGGTTGAGCCTTACACACGGGTGGAAGACGGGGAGGGAGACGGTGTTTTGGATACCACCGGCACAGCCCAACTGTAGTATGAGATCTGGGATGCCTGAGACTTTTGCTGTGAATGCAATGGTGCCGTTTGCCATTGCGGCCAAGGGCCGACCAGAGGGTGATAGTGTGACTTCGAGCGTTTCGACGATATCGACGTACATTTCATTGCTCGTATGCCTGACATTTGCTCTTCGCCATGGGACTGGTGACGCTGTCTGGCTGGAGGATAGTGAGGGGCCTAGTCTTGGGCTTGATCTTCCACCACCAAGACCAAATGCGCTTGAGGACGAGGGCGTCAGCGAGCTGGGGGTTGAAGAGGGCAATCCAACGCCGCCCAGCAGGCTCTTGAGCAGGTTGGGGGCTTCGACGACATCTCTCAGGGCATTGGGCTCGGTGTTTGCAATGATGCCGCCGTCGACCATTTCACTGAGCAGCTGTGCGACGACATCGTAGTTTGCCTCGATCTTGGAGGCGAGCAAGGGCGAGCCGAGGAAGTCTTCAAGGACATCGGTGAGGCGGTGGAGGAAGGTAAGGATGGCGAGGGGATCGGTGTCGGCAGAAGAGGGGCAGAGAAACAGCAGCTGATCCTGGACGATGGAGTAGAGCAAAGTGGACGGGTTGGTGTTGGGTAGGTAGATCAAGGGCGGACGTGGGGCGGGATGGGCGAGATAGAGGGGGAGGAGGGAGCTGGCCGGCGGCGGGCGGTTGGCGTAGATATGCTCCAGAAGCGGCGTGCTGGAGGTGAGTTAGCCGCGTGGTACCGACAAGGGCTGGCAAAAGGGACGGGCTACTTGTGCTCGTCAAAGAGGTAGAGAGCCTCAATCGCGCTCATGGTGGACGAGTGTCGGCGTGAGGCTGCGCACGCGCGCGACGACGTGAGAGTGTGGGGAACTTGAGCAGCCTACTAGAGCGAGGCCTGCACTGTACATACCACAACATACATACGCATACACATACCTACGTTGACCTTTGCCTGCAACCATGTCGCAACCAGATGCAGATACGCCCACGTTCCAACAAGCCCTGAAGCAGGACCGCGCCCAGTTTGAAGACTGCACGCCCTGTCGCGTCGTTGGTATGCTCGCTCCTAGGCCTGCGCTGATCAAGTCCATGTGCTGATGCCGACCTGCAGGCACCGCGACATTTCTGGGCCTGGGTGCCTTTACCTATGTCTCTGGTCACTCGCAAATCCGCGCCAACCAAGCTGCAATTCGGGCCAGCAACAGCATCTTTGGGGTGCGCAGTAGACACATGGCCATCACTGGCACCAGCGCCGTCATGGTCGGCCTGGGCATGTATCGCTGGTTTTCCTAGGACGCACGTGACCCGCACATTCATTCCCTTGGCCCTACCACCACGTCTTCAACAGCACATTTCAAAAGCACAAAAAGTATCAGATGCCCTCTCGGGAGCTTAAACTGTCACATTAAGACCCAGATCCATTCTCATTCCACTAAACTCCGCCAATCGATTACATGAAATCGCCGCCGCGCAAACAAGAAATGAGAAAAGGTATATGCCCTAAAAAGTAATAAACACCAGAGAATGCGTCTATTAAAGCCTGCTCCACCCAATGCATACAATCTTCAACAAGCCCACTGCGCCGTCGGGGGGTATGATGCAATTAATCGTGATTCGTGATTCGTCCACCGGCTTGCTCTCCTCGTCGCAAATCCTCCTTGGACGCCATATCTTCAGACTGCCATGGTCAGCCGTCTCAGGACATGCGCCCCCGCTTAGGTCCCCCGGAAGAGCCGTCCCGTCGGTCGTTGAATCCGTCCACGTTGAAAAAGTCGTTCAGGAGCCGTCGCTTCTGCCCTGCGCCAGTGCCGAGTTGAAACAGATTTTGAGCCGCCGATCGCTGCAGGTTTCGTCCAGTCGAGCGGTTTGAGGATCGTCGGGGATTAGGGAATGCGCGGCGAGCAGCGGCTGACACATCCGCGGCGTTGTTGTCGTTTGTTGTCTCGGACGGGAAGGCCTGGGGCGTCGAAAACTGGAAAACGTGGTGCAAGGGCGACAAGTCAGCCTCGGTTGTCGTGGCTTCCATTTGGACAGGCGGTGCAGAGTCGCAGCGGTCTGTTGTCTCCATGACAGGATCGAGGGTGTGCGAATCGTCCAGGCTGAGGTTTCGCTCCATGATGGGTGACGAGCTGCGAGCGCGCTTATCGTCGAGGTACTCTTCTTCGCTCTCGCTGCCCGACTGCTTGGGCAGAGATCCATCCAAGCGCTCTGTCGCCCACTGCCGTATTCTGTTGCCCTCTCCGCCAGTTGCTCCAATGTTCTCCTTGTCCAGATAGGCCAGTAGGTCATCCAGGGCTTCTTGGTAGCCGTCTGCGCGGGCTCTGTCAAGGTCGGCTAGGGCAGACTTGTACAGATTGGTCACGTTCAAGGCTGCGGTACGGAACGACTGGTGCACGTCAGGCTGCCGCCTTGTCTTGGGCAGCGACGTGTTGAGGCTTCGCATCGAGTCCATGGCTGTGGGTGGAGGCTGGCGTTGCTGCTGCCGTCGTCGATGCTGTGCAAGGCTTTGACGTGCTGAGGTGAGCTGCAAAAGCCCTGTGCACCCGCTCGCAGCGTCTCGGTTGCTGCTGTGGTTGGGTAAGCTTGAGCGTGTGTATGAGTGTGTGTATCAAAAGAAAAAAAACAAGTGACGGTCCAGGTAAGAGACTGTGGGGATATCGCACACTCACAAGGAGCGTCGTTGGGATCAAAGACGTGGTCGCTTGCTGACTGCCGTTCTCTCCCGCGGGGTTCACGCAGTCATGATTCTTTGGGCAAAGCCTGCTGGCCTGTGCGCCAATCACCCCCTTCCATTCGCAACATCACCTCCTTCCGCCACCCTAACCTAATCAAAGCCTGGCAGCTTTGATGAATAGCACTTCAGCATATCTTTTGCTGTGAAATCTCATGTCCTCTTCACTTCCATATCCACTTTCCACCATGAAGTCGCCGTTAGAGAGCCTACCTGTTGAGTTGTTTGATATGATTGCTGCCGATTTCAGTCTACCAGAGTACCAAAGCCTCCGTCTAGCTTCGCAACAGCTTTACCAGTTCGTCCATGCAAAGTTTGCGCGCCTGGCCTTTGCCGAGCAAGTTACCACTCTCAGCTCATCATCACTTAATCGTCTCAGCAACGTGTCGAGCCATCAAGGTCTTCGGGACGCCGTCAAAACTCTCCACATCCGTCTTCTGAATGAAGAGGAATACGCAAATCTGAATGCAATTAGCCGTGTGGGTCGATTTCCTCCTCCGAAGAGATTTCCTAGAGTGTTAGGGGTAAGAGACAAGAACGTCAATGATGAGGCGGCCACATATCCCTACGTACTGCACAACGAACGCCCCTCGCGCCTGTACAATGGGCTTCTGAAAGTTCTCAAAGGTCTGCCTCAATTGAAAACCATTAAACTTAGTATGAAGCCGTCCGCATCGTATATATGGGAATGCAACGAAACATCTCACAGTCTATTTCGAAGCAAGTGTTTTGAAGTCGTCATCTACGCTATAACCCACAGTAATATCAAACTGGAAGAGTTCACCATGGCCAGAAGAAAAGGCCGCCAGATTTTGTACAAACCGGTCGATCTGTCGTTTCTGGCCTTCCAACTGGGCCCAAAATCTCTACAGACACTACAGCATTGCTTTTCCAATCTCCAGTCGCTCACGTTATCGATCATGACAGGCTACGATGCCCCGCGCCCAGATGGGTGGGCCAGCAGTATTTGTGGCTTCATCGCTGCTGCACCCAACCTCAAGAAGCTGACTCTGGGTCTGGATCGTGTCAGCGCAAAGTGGCCATCGTCTTCGTTTGGCGACATTGTGGTCAAATCCCTAGCCATTTCCTGTCGATTACCACGTCTTGAGACTCTCGAGGTCATAAACTGTGCATCCGATGGGAAAGACTTGGCCGACTTGATCCGAACGTATTCTTCATCGCTTCAATACATCGTCCTTTCCCACATACAGCTCTCAACCGATAAGTGGTGTCCAATTGAGGATGCTCTAAAGGTATGCCATCAACTAAGGTATTTTCGCCTGGTTGCATTCGAGGACCGCTGGACTAGACTGTCAATCAAGGCACGAATTAATGGTCGTCCGGACTTCGTCTGGGACGTATACGAAGACCACCAAAACGCGTCTGATTGGCTCCGCGGAGTCACGGGATTGGACAGAAGTTGAAATTTTCCAACCAAATCACTCGGCTGGAAACAATGGTATCCGCCATTCTGGGACAACTGCCTGTAGTTCCGTAACTGAATAGACACGGCAGACTTCCTCCTGTCGTCGTCAGCCATAATCGTATTTGCACTCGGACAACTGTGCGGAAGCACCGATTGCATATGCGCGGCAATAGCTTCTTAAGCACTACTAGATCATTGATCTTACCGCAGTTGGCGAAGAGTCATTTGGAAATCTATCTAATAGGGATGTGGATAGGTGATACGACGCAAGAGAATAATCTCGTTTTGGCAATGTGCAGTTCGGAGAAGAGTAAGATGTATGCAAGAGAGGAAAGACGGACGATTTGTCCACCTAGAGCCGCATTGTTCTAAATCATGTACCAATGTGACATGTCCAGTCAAATTCCCTCTTTCCCGGCTCCCCCCGGCTGCCCGGCTCACACTTCCAGCGTCGATCTCACGATTGACTTGCCATTAGTGGCCACTGCATTACTGCACCCTGTCGTGATCATAACCACACGCATTGACGAAACCCGGCCTACACCTCAACAAAAATTCCGAAAGGCTGCAATCCGCGAACCAGACCGCGTCCCGAAACACACCATGCAGTGAGCAAAGACCTCTTGTGCAGCGTGACTGCCTCAAGAATCTTGTGTTAGTGGACCAAATCATCGACTGTGATCCGCTTCTTCCGGCGGTCTGACATCCCCCTCGATGACTTTTAGTGTCCTCAGTTCAGCTGAAGGAGTGCCAACGTCAAATTCAATACTCTTCCCGAGCTTGATCCCCACGATGCTAGTCAAATTTATGGTTGAAGCTTAATTCGACATCGATCTGCAATCTCGCTTGTGCATCGCCCAATCATGCTGCTTGGATATCCGATCATTCGCATCGGAAAATAGATATAGAACATGGGGCCCTGTTATGCAGGCATCCCAAGCGGTTTCTTACTTGGCGAGTGAGGCTACCAAGCACGCCAAGTAATGGCATGGTCGCGAGAAAGACCATTGCAATCGCTTCTAGAAAAAGCAGGTTGGCACTCAGCATGCCCGGATCTGAGTGATACCAGTTGCTAACACAATCGCCTTTTGCAGAATAGGAAACCACCCCATTCCGTCACGTCAAAACATTAATTTCCCAGCCGGTGGATGTATGCACATGCAGAAGCAGTCAGCCGCTATCGAAATTACAAAGTTCGACAGGCTCTCTACGATGATATCCTAGAATAGGCACATTCCACTATGCCACTCCTTGATGGTCCTACGTAAGGCTCGAGGCTTGGCCATTACCGGCCCGATGCGCCGTATCTCACATCGTACATTCCGGATCAAGTGCAGGTCAGCGCCAGTACTATGAATAAGCCGGTCGGTTCTACTCTCCACGCTAGTAGTCGCTTGAGTGTTATAATATTAGTAAACATCCACCAATGAACCTTTGTTGTTCGCCAATGCTACGACACGCGTCGTCAAGGAGAGTGTCTATGAAGTCAGTAAACGACATAGTCAAAAGAGATCAAAGACGTGGATTCTATGTCGAGGTAAGTGTATATAACTTGCGAGTAACATAGGAATCTAGCTAGGATGGAGTGAGATTGATTCCCCGTAGGGAAGGTTGGGTTAAGGGCCATTATGATCTATTCGTCTTACCATTTCCATGCTTTCTGTCAGCATCCCTTGCAATGCGTAGAAACATCCTCACCAAGATGACTAAGAGAGAACCCTGTAGATCGAAGGAGTACAGGCGCTACCAATACTCACAATGGTTTCAACGTCGAGTGAAGATATATAAATATCGATTTTTAACTTCACTCTTTATTAGCATCAATCAGTTTTGCCCTTGTTGCACTGCGGTCAAGACATGTTACATTATCAATGATTCCTCATACAAAACATCTTCCTGTTTTTCATTTTACTTGATCTAATTTCCTTCTATACTCGCTCCTCTTTACAACTATGCGTCCCACCATATCCTTAGCCCTGGCCGTCCTCACGGCAACAACGCGCATCTCAGCCCTCAACCTCCTCCCACGCCAGAGCGCCTGTCCCTCAGTCTGGACCGACGTCGCCGCCTCCTTCAAAAAACGACTAACCAGCTGCGGCCAATTCGCCCATACCCTCATCCGCCTCGCCTTCCACGACTGCCACTCAGGCTGCGACGGCAGCATCCTCCTCACCAACGAATGCTCTTACACCCAAAACCGCGGCCTCAACGACACATGCAACACGCTCCGCAGCATGCGCACCCAATTCAACGTCGGCGCCGCCGACATCATCCAATTCGGCGCCGCCCTCGCCATCGCCGCCTGCCCGCTGGGGCCCCGGGTACAAGCCTTGGTGGGCCGCCCCGACAGCACCCAAGCCGCGCCTGTGGGCTCCCTCCCGCACAGCAGCGACTCGCCCGAGAAGCTGGTTGCGGATTTCCGCGCCATAGGCATCTCGGCGCAGGAAATGATTGCGCTGCTCGGCACGCATAGTGTCGCCGTGCAGCTGTTTGATGACCCGAAACAGGCGGGCAAGTCGCTCGATAGTACCCCCTCGACGTATGACACTTTGTACTATAATCAGACCAAGTTTCGGACTGCGCCGTATACGCTGCAGAGTGATTTTGAGCTCGCGCATTATAATGAGGTGTGTGTTTGTGCTCTCTCTTTTCCCTTCTTCCCCCCCCTCACCTCCCCCCTTTTTTTCCTATGTTATCTTTCCCCTTTCGCTACTTTAAGGGTTTTTTTTTCGCTATAGAAAGAGGATGAAATGTTGACGTGAATGTTGAAATCTAGACGGCAGATATTTGGGACTCGTTTATTAACTCGGCGGATCTGTGGAATCAAGTTTTTGTCCCCGCGTGGTTCAAGTTGTCGACTGTGGGGGTAGACACGAGTAATTTGCAGGATTGCTCGGATCTTGTTCCAGCCAGCAAGACGAAACGTCGTAAGAGCGTGGATGGAGTAGTGAGGAAGTTTAGGGGGTGAGGTTGGGTAAGATGATGGGGGGTTGGGTTGGGTTTACGAGTACCTTTTTTTGTCTTTAATCGTAATGCTGATGACCAAATCATTGTGTCCATATGTCTCATTCATCTATGTATTCTTGCCTTTTCAATCCCCATGTCTTTTGTTGGATCGAAACGATGCAACAAGAGTTTTCTTGAACGTTAACCTAAAGCATAGCCAGTATCAGTACAAGCAACATTAAATTGTGCAAAAGGTTCATAGTTCTTAAGAGGTCTAGCTTCGTCGATCTGTTTGTTTCGAACAGCTTAAAAGTGCGCAATATAGGTAATACTAAACGACCACACCATTGTGCTAGGACCACTTCTCACCCAACAATTCAAGTTCACCGAGACATGCATAATCCCTTCATGACTGACACAACATCACAAGTTCACTCACACATGCACACCAGAAGCTCAAAGTAAATATGCAAAAGAATTCGTCATTCAAAATAAAAACATCGCTACAAGAATCGAAGAAATCACCATCAAGGCTAAAAAGGTGTTATATATACACAAAAGATGTTTTATCCCTCTATTCATGGGATACATGACTTAGAGTAGAGCCTCAATCATGCGGCGGATCTTGGCCGCCTTCTCGGCGCCGGCCTCCTCCTGAAGGAAGGCAATGAAGGTCTCGAGGGTGTACTTCTTCTCGCCAGCGCCGGCAGCGGGGGCGGAGGGGGCGGCGGAAGGAGTGGCTTCGGGGGTGACATTGGTGGGCTCAGGCTTGGGGGCTGGGGCATTGTCGGAGGGAGCGCCAGTGGAAGGAGCGTTGTTGGAGGGAGCACCAGTGGATGGAGCGTTGTTGGAGGGAGCACCAGTGGATGGAGCGTTGTTGGATGGGGGAGGCTGAGAACCGTTGTTGGATCCAGACTTGACGCACTGGAAGTAGTATGGGTTCCACTGCTTGCACTCAAGGCCTTCAGCACATCCAGTAGCACCCTTATAGTTCATGCCACCACACTGGTAGTATTCCTTAACAGGGCCGCTGGCATCACCGGTAGGAGATGGGCGGACAACGGTCGCCAAGGTGGTAGAGGCGACGGCGCTGGAAGAGGTGGCGACAGGGAGAGCAGAAGAAGTGCCGTTGGTGATGGGGTAGGGGGCGGAAGTCTCAGCGGGAGTCTCAGCAGGGGCAGCAGAGGGCTCAGCAGCCTCGACGGGGCTGCTAGGGGTGGCAGCGGGAGTGGAAGCGGCAGCAGGAGTGGAAACGGCAGCAGACGAAGCGGAGGCGACAGGAGCCTCGTCATCAGCAGGAGCACCGGCAGCAGGAGCACCAGAGAGGGTGCCAAAGGTCAGGAGCGAGGGAGTGGCCTTGGTGCCGCCAGCAATTAGCTTAGGACCAGGGGCGGGGTAAGAGTCGAGGTCGGCGTGGATAGAGAAGCCAAGACCCGGGCCAGTCTTGCTGTAGGCCTCAGGGAATGTGACACCCTTGGGCACAAGAGTACCGCTACCAGTAACAGTAAGCTGGTAGCAAGTGACGTAGTGCTGAGCACCACCAGCAGGGCTAGCGGCGTGAAGCGCAATAGCCTCAGCACGGAGGAGGTAGTCACCAGCGGCGAGCTCCTTGGGGATGGTGAAGCTGAGCTTTCCGCCTAAATTTATGTCAGAGATGTCGAATGTAAAAGCATGAATGGCGTACAGTTGTAGTTGAGGTCCTTGGTACCCCAGAAGTCGTTGTCTCCCTGAGACGCGGCTGGGTTCTTGGCCCAGGTGTTCTCGTAGATCTTGAAGAACTCGCTTGAGCCATCGGCAGTGGCGGCGTCGTCAACTTTGGACAGGTATGCAAGGACGGGTCCCCAATGAGCACCACCAATACCCTCGGTCTTGCAGTCACGGCTGTTGAACTGCTGGTGCATTTCAATGGTAACTGTGTCACCAGCTGCAAACGCACACTTTCCCTTTGCGGCAGCAGGGCTGACGTTGCCTTTAACATTGCGTTAGTATGAAAGATGGCGGTGAGACAAAAAAGAGGTAGAGACATACACTGAAGAGCGTTGCTGGTGTAGTCCTCGATGGGGCTGTTGGTGGAAGGCAGCCTGGCGCAGGTGCTCTCGAGATCCTTTCCATTATTCCAGATCTGTTGGAAAGTGGCGTGGGCGTTGGCCATGGCAGCCAAGGCGGCGATGGTAGCGACGGTCTTCATCTTGTATATGGTAGTGGGGATGTAGTAGCGATGGTGTTGAGAATGAGTGACTGGTCAACCGAGTGACGAAAGAGTGACGGAAAGAAACAAACAAGCAGAGAATGACGAATCTTGCAAAGAAGGAATGTCCAGCGCAGCTGCGTTAGGGTTTCCATGGGTGAAGGGCAGGGTGGTTTATATTGCTCCGCGTGGGAGTCAGTTTCTGCTGAGAGGCCGAGAACCAGTTAGCACAGGCGTGTTTAGCCGTTTCGTCCACGACGCATCCAATATCCAGAGCGGCACAGGGGGGCGCAACGTGTTTGAAGCAACGGGCGGGAAACATTGTCAAAGGAACACATGCTATGCCCTAACGAGGCGTCGGCGGGCCACGACCAGGCGGGCGGGTTGGTGGTGGAGAAGTGACAGATGTTCGACGTGGTCTAGCGCCGGCAGCCTTTGACCAATCCAGACTAGCCTTGGTTTGATGATGCTATAGGCGAGATTTCGGTGCACTGCAGGGGCTCCCTCCCCATCCTTTCAATCGTTGCTGGTACGTATGTATTTACTGATTCTACAACACAATTTCTGTTCCTATGCCATGTATGCTGATTCCGGCATCTGCGGTGTCATGCCGGATGCTGCACAGTGGGTGGCTTGACGCAGCCATCCAACGTCTAGGTACTGTGGAACAGCCGGTAAGCACCCAAACCTAGCTTTCGCCGGCCACGTGAAAGGCTCTGGTTGCCCGTAGCCATGATGCCATGACCTTGGGCGGGTGGCTTTAATCATGGGCTATCCTATGCAATTTTACAGGGCTGCGCCATGAGTTGCACTGCGGGCCAAGACGTAGTGGCCTGATCCCACAGACAGAGCTGCTCCACGACCCCAAACTGCACAAGCTTGCCGTTCGTGGGTCTAATACAAAAGGGCAAGGCTATCTCCCAGTAATACATGACGGCATATTCCAGTTCTGACAGGAAGATATGTCAATTGGGGTGAAGGGACATATACATGTTCCGCGCGCGCGAAGCTGAAACGCTGCGGTGGATCCAGACGAAACACCATGTGAAGGATCGCTTCATGGATTTCCGTCCTTTGTTAGCGCCGACATGTCGTTCACATGAGAGCGCATGAATAGCGGCTAAAATGGACGGTAAAGTACATCCCACACCAACCGCATTCTGACGACCATAGACTTAGCGCTGTTTCGTTCATATTGTTTTAGTCTTCGGCTTTACTGAACCTCTTATTTCTCGTAGTACCATCGCAATGGCAACTAAGATTTCAGGCCTACTTTTTCCTATGTCGAGAATATTGTGCAATAATCATGTCTTTTTGAACACGGCCACATAATATGGCGTTAACAAACCGATCTTTGTGAAAACCAAACGCGCTTGACTACGCTTCTTGCCGCAAATCCGCAACAGCATAAACGACCTTCACACTAGCCTAGCCACCCGTCATGTGATTGAATAACTTGCGACTTTCCCAGCACTCCCTTGGTAACCGCTTGGTCGAAATAAATGCCAGCCCGATAAATCGCTCAGTCCCAAAACTAGCAGCCCTCTAGCAGTCTTCTCTAGGATCCTATGGCTTGGGTATAGAGGAAACTATCCCTTCATAGTTCGAAATCTCCGAATAAGTGGGTCTGCAAGCAGTCTGTTGATATTGAATAATAGGGCAAAATATTACTCCGATACGCTATATTTGGCATTTTGCAAGTGGGAGATTGCTCCCAACAAGTCTCCTCCCGTCGTCTCTCATGATAACTCGAAGGATTTAGGGGTCAGTGCTAAGGAACGTCGATTCCACCAGGAGTGCCCAACTGGCGAGAGTGGGGGTTTGATTATATGCCAATAGATCGATATTGACTTGGCGTTGCGAGCCATTAACTGACAGCTTTTGTAGCCACTTCCCCCCCATCTTTTCGCAATGTTTTCTAGGCCAGACACTCCCACTCTCAGTAATCCTACAAGACTCGCACTCTTCTCGATACCCGCCGTACTGAACACATCAAACACTGGATCAAAAAACTCTTCAGCGGAATCAAAGCGTCGGCGGTATAAGCCTGAGACACTGTGAAACTGGCTGCTATGCGGTGACTTGTTGGAATAGACCCATCCAGACTGATGTCGGGGTTCGGGAAGATCGCGGAAAAATACTACGAGAGAAGTGCACGGCGGATCCCGCCATAGACCCTACTAAAGCCTGCGCTTGCACGTCCTTATGTACGCGGCAAAGTGGCAGTAGTGGACGACACGCAAGACGTGGAAGAGCAAGTTAATGGCGGCTTCTCAGTTGTTCGCCACAACAACCATCAACCTATGTACTTGCGGCTGGACGTGTGTCTTGCAACTCAAGAACTTATGAACTCGTCTCTTGAATAAGCGGTGTCAACTGTCCAGGCTCGCGCCCACTCCACCCCTTTGACACACGGCCACATGTCAGATCACGGTAACAGCCGATGTCATTCACAAACACTCAGCATTCTGAAACAGCGGTGTTTTTCAAAGATCGATAAGAAGACGTAATCATGCCTGGCGATGAGCTGAAGTTGTGGTGGCGAGATTGACAGTTAGAACTCTCATAGAGGCGCTGCACCAGAGGATTGGCAGAAGTTGTGGTGGCGAGACTAAGAGTTCAAGCGTACAGAGGCGCTGTACCAGAGGAATTGGCAGCGAAAAGCACTTGTTGCTATTTGGGTACGATGCATTGCAGTCAGACCTGACATTTGGTAGCGTACCTACGGACAAGCCCTGGCGCCTAGCCATTAGATATGGGAATGATGGTAAGTTATTTGCCCAACATGCTAATATAGTACCAGTACACTAGGCATCCAGAGCACTTCGCCTCACTAGCAAGCGAAGATGTGGCGCGTCAGCATCGGCTCTTATGCATTCATATCACACGCCGAGTACTTGGTGCCTGGCGTTAGACGCAGGGGGTTCACCATACAGTCGTTTTTTTTTTCAATACGTAAAAGATGGGGCAGTTGGACAAAAAGCATACCAGCGAGATAATTCTGGCTGCACTATCTGAGTGGAGATACCGCCCGCAGTAGATGTTGACATCGTTGACACGCCAGAGTAGTTGAAGGATGCTGGGTAGTCGGGCTCCGGCCCCTTTCATGATCGTCCGGTGCACGGCTAGGCGAAGCTTGTTTTCACATCTCAAACAACGACTTCTCGGCCCTTTTCTTCTCTCGCTGCGCCATTGGGCTTTCTGCATCGCCACAAACTCGAACAAGCCTCCATTCTCGCAGAGGCTTCGCGGGCTGCCGTTATGACAATTCCCGCAAGCTTCCGGCGCCCCCAAGAAATACTACTCCACGTCCACAGCAATACGAAACGCCCTATTTGGACACTGGCTCCCCGCCAGCCGACGCGACCTGGCGATCACGAGTGTCACGGTATACGACTCTGTTCAAAAAAAATATACTTTACGATGTCAGCACGTTGGGTTGGTTGTGAACAGCTTGTTGTGCTTTGATGCGCACGCAAGCTTGTGACGTTGGCGACTTTCAGCCTCACGTTCGCTTGTCCCTTGATGCAGGTACCGGCACTTTATGCCGTGTATTTCTTTTGTGACGAGCAACGATAAACGAAGCCACGACTTGAGTCTCTGCAGATCATGTACTGATATACGTGGTGTTAGTATTGGGTGGCTGATCTCGTGTTCTGCAAAGGGTTAGACGTCTGTGTGGCGTTCCATGGCATCCATATGGATGCTGAAAAAGAAATTCAACCTCGCTTTTCTCTTGATACCATTTGCTGATAGCGTCCACAGGGCGAAGATCGCGCCTTGCTACATCTCTGGATTTCCTTTTCGAGTAACTATTCACGATACCAGTGTCTCAAGTCTCTATCCTTCGGGCTTAGCCTTGGGCGGGCCGTATACGCAGTCCCATAGTTCAACAAAGGAGATGGAGTTAAGGCAAACCTCAGCTCAGAGATGATCATTTATAGATGGCGTTGTCCCTGAAGAAATCGATCGACCAGGCCAGTTTCTTTCCAATACAGTCACTCGTTTCTTTTGTGGTCGTTCTCAGAGCAAGTGCCCAGCCGTTGTACTTGTCCCATCTGTTTATTGCTACGCCATGGTCGCCTACAGTCCTTACCTTGCCGCAACGGCATCCATTTCTTCTGTGTATCCCGCAGTTACACCTGCCGAGTTTCGCGCCCCGTCCGCCTGTAATGTTGTGACTGCTACAGTCACAGAATACGCGACCGCAAGGCCCACTACCAACCCTCATGGACATGGCGGGCCTTACTACAATCCTTACAACGACGAGCCGCTTCCATTTGTTTGGCCGGGCACACCTTCTCACGGTGAACTCTACCCTCCTCCTCGGCCTTCCGCTCCTTTTCCATACGGTGGTCCAGCAAAAGACTCGTACGATGGGCCATGCTGGATCCCCAAGGGCACTGACAAGCTCATCCCTGCTCTGCCTAACGTTGAGCAATGCGGAAACTCCCAGTGGGGTTCGATCGACTGCCCTCATCTCCCAATCAATGGCCTCCCAGGTGGCCACACAAACGGCTCGTATCCATTCCCTACCAAGTCCATTGTAAACCCTCCGTACCCTACTGCGGGAGGTCATGGACACGGAGGTCACGGGCATGGAGGCCATGGGCACGTTTCCTCTAACGCGACCAACACCTACACCTCTGGACCCACTACTACCCCTGCGCCAGATCATCTTTGTCCCACTATGCCTGACACTGGCGTGACGAGGACTTATGATCTTCATGTGGCCTACCAAACCATTGCACCAGATGGTGTGACCAGGAATGGATTGACCGTCAATGGTCAATTCCCTGGACCGCTTATCGAAGCCAACTGGCATGTACAAACCTTGATGTTTTTTTCTTGCTCTCGCTAACAGCTTACAGGGGTGATTGGATTCTGTGGCGAGTTACCAACGATCTTACCGACGAAGGCACTACCCTACACCCGCACGGTCTTTTACAGACGACGACCAGTTGGTATGATGGTGTCCCTGCGGTAGCCCAATGCCCCGTTGTGCCCAATGGCGGCTACCAGGAGATGTTGTTCCGCGCCGACCGGTATGGAACATCGTGGTATCACAGTAGGTCTATAAGAACCGGCTAGTCCATTTTGGGCTTCACGCTGACCTTTTCAGGCCACTACAGCGCTCAGTACTCTGGCGGTGCGCATGGCCCGATGGTTATCTACGGCCCCAAGCATGAGGAGTATGACATTGATATCGGTCCCATCGTCCTTGAGGACTGGTTCCATGCTGATTACTACTCATTGGTTGAAGGTACCATGGCCGGAAGATTCCCTCCGTCAAACAACAATCTGATCAACGGACGCATGAACTATCCGTGTGCCAACACGACTTTGCCTTGTACTCCCAACGCTGGTGTAGCCAAGTTCAAGTTCCAGTCTGGCAAGAAGCACCTACTCCGTCTCATCAACACTGGGGCCGAAGGAAACCAGAAGTTCAGCATCGATGGACACGTCATGAAGGTCATTGCAGTTGACTTTATCCCCATTGAACCATACACCACCAACGTCGTTACCCTTGCCGTCGGTCAGCGATCTGATGTCATCATCGAGGCAACTGGAAACCCCAGTGACACTTTCTGGATGCGCTCTCAGCTTGCTCAAGGATTTCGCTGCACACTTACCGATGGTATCTCGCCAAACGCCCTTGCAGCTGTTTACTATGAGGACGCCGATACCGATGCTATCCCGCAGTCCACCTCCGATGTCACCCAAGCCCAGCTCGAGCAATGCAAGAACGACCCCATCGAACTTGGTATCCCGCTGTGCAAGATTCCTCTGGAGGAGCCCGATCATGTCGAGCGCGTCGACTTTGAGTTCCGCTCCAACGGCACAAACTTCATCTGGTACCTCAACAACAGCACTTACCGCGGTAACTTCAACGACCCCACACTTATCAAGGCTTTCAAAGGAGAGACAGATTTCCCGGCTGAGTCAAACGTGTACCAATTCCCCGGTGCTGAGCACGTCCGCATCCACCTTGTCAACCACGGCATGATCGGAGGCCACCCTATGCATCTCCACGGCCATGACTTCCACGTCCTGGCTGAGGGCTACGGCGAATGGGACGGCACCGTCACCAACCCCGAGAACACACTCCGCCGCGATGTCCACCAGATGCAGAATGCACGCAACGTCAGCGGCGTCGTCGAGCCTTCGTACATGGTGCTGCAATTCGTGCAGGACAACCCAGGTGCCTGGCCTCTGCACTGCCATCTAGCATGGCACGTCAGCGGTGGCTTGTTCATGCAGATCCTCGAGAGGCCAGACGATATTCGCAAGCAGGATTTCGACGAGGATGTCTTCAGGCTCTGCGATGAGTGGGATGTCTACAGCGCGTCGACTATTCTCGACCAGATCGACTCGGGATTATAAAATTTGTAGTATATACCCTTCTTTGTACATTGTATGCGTTTTGGAGATTTGGTTGCATTGAAGCGTGACGGGGCCTTAAGATTCTCGTAGAGAGGTGGTTTATTGTTGTATAATTGTATCATGTTTTGGCCCGTATCTACCTGCTTATGTGTTTAGTGGTCTTGAGTTTTTGGTGATGGTTTACAGGTGATGCTGCTGACGAAACAGGACAAAGACATGAGCCGTATCTGGATCGCTAGCATGATGTTGACAGAACTTGTGGTTTGCGACGCATCATATGAACTCCGACTATCGTTGTAAGGCGCAGATTAGTACTAAGAGGGACCAATGCAACATCGCAATTTTAAAATTAATAACCTAGGCTTAAATAGGACGCACTGGTGAGTTGGCCAGTAATCAACACTTCCTAATTGGGTAACCATCTCATGTCTCGGCGAAAAGCACCTTCAGATGAGGTGTATGCACAAGATGTACACACTCCCAGCAGTAATTCAAGAGGCGGAGAAGCAACAATGAATGCAACACCACAACACCTAAAGGTGTTGCTTACTGGCGGCGCGCGAGGAATTGGACGCGGTCTTTTGCGCCATCTCTTGACCGCCGGCCATGAAGTCATCATACTCGACTCTAACAAAGAAGAATTAGACCATGTGAAAACGCGAGCGCAAGAGTGGTCCAACGGGCGAAAAGAACACTGGCACGCCCTTCACTGCGACCTCAGCTCGCGCACACAACTGAAAGCTGCTGTCAACGAAGTGGATCAAAGATTCAACGGGAAGCTCGACGTCCTCATCAACAACGCATTCCCCACCCATCTCAGTTTCTCAGAAGACCGCAGCATGGAAGCCCAAGGAGAAGACAGGGAAAAAGAATGGGACTTGCAACTTGCAGTTGGCCTCACAGCGCCCTTCCTACTCAGCCGCCTATGCGTCCCCCTCCTCGCAAAAGGAAACTCGACCCCCAACTCCCCCGGCACAATCATCAACGTATCCTCAACCCGCGCCTACCAAGCCGAGCCCGACCATGAGGCGTACTCTGCAGTAAAAGCAGGACTGCTCGGCCTAACGCAGGCAATGTGCATCTCGCTGGGCCATCGACATAAGATCAGGGTTAATGCAATTATCCCCGGGTGGATCCACGTTATCAACGAGAGCAAAGCTGGAGATGAAAAAAGCATGGGGTGGGAGGAAGGATTGACTGAGCAAGATACTGCGTGGCATCCTGCGGGGAGAGTAGGCAGAGTAGAAGATATTGCTAAAGCGGTGGAGTATGCGGTTAGCAATGAGTTTGTGACGGGCCAGGAGATAGTGGTGGATGGGGGTGTGGGGAGGAAGATGGTGTATCCGGAGTAAGAATACTAAGCTCAACGGTCTACGTATTACTTGTGTCTTTTGATCAGCGGTTGCATAAAACTGAGCAATCTTGTATGGGGCAGATAACAGGGTCAAAAAATAAAGTACTTGGGAACATAAAATATGGCTGTGCGGGTGCGCACATGCGGTAGCGGCCCGAGACGCATTGATGGACACCTGTAGGGCGCTGGGTGACTTGCTTTTGTTTGTTGTTTACCCTGTGCCGCGTGTGTTTTCCTTCTCATAGTGAATGCTAGTTTATTTTTTGCGCACAGAAAAGTGTAGTCTAGGATGCTGGAGTCTGGCAGTGTATATTTAAATTTCTAATGAGGCTTCATAATCAACAAGGTCGGATTTCCGCTAGAGTACCCAGCCAGGCAAAACCTAGGAAATACCATCACAGATCGCTCCTAGTACTGCTGAATGATAGAAAAAGGTATGCAGTATTAAGAAATAGGAGCTACTTCGCCAGTTGGAGTTGAGAACCGAAAAATCATATTGCATTGCTGACGCAATAGAGATGGAGAGAATGGGTTGCTACACGGAAACAATCCACAAGCTACAAATCCTCATTCACTTTCACTATAGGGTCCCCTCTGCAACCGTTTGCTTGGTGCTCTGGGTAGCTGCATGGTCACGTGCAGCCCATGCTCCTTCCCGTTTGCACACCTAGAAAAGGTCGCGCTCACTGGCCCGTCACTACACTCTGCTTCAGTAACTCCCAAAAATTTGGATGTCAACTACTAGTTCTTTTCAAATTGATACAACTCCATAATCCAAATTTTCCTTTGCAGTGTAAGTTTTTGGCTCACACCAAGCATTGGATCCTACTTGGCAGCTCACAACACAGGTCATCGCAGACAAACAACCAACAGCTCTACTGCCGAGTCACCAATTTTTGAGGACTCCGCTCGTCTTTTAGGATACGTAGTTCCGATCAACCGAGTCATGCATGCCTCCATTCCCAACGATAAGTAAGTTTGCTCAATACATTACGGTGTAACATGATATTTACTGCTATGTACGTAGAAATGTCTTACCCGTTCAGCTGGGTCAGGCTCCTCATACAGCTACAAAGACCAGTCGGTACAAGACTGCGAAGAATGTTGAGCGCCCAGATATCAAAACCGCTCAACCCGGAGACAATCAAATTCAAGAGCAGGCAGCCGCCACTATGAAGTTGCCAAACCCCAGGAAGAAGATTAGAAAGGCATCCCGCGGAAAAGCTGCCAAGGTGGAGATTGTAGCTGAAAAGGCCGCTCACCCGGATGCTCGATCAGTCACGTCTGCTGAATTGCTTGACTTAGACGCTAGAGTGCCAAAGGCAGTGGCTCTGTCCTTGGACTCTTCTACACTACCTTCCCCTCCGCTCTCGCACAAGGAATCAGACTTATTGACATCGACCGTCTCAGCGCTGAAAGCGTACAGCGACCCGTCATGCTCTGAGGGTTCGTCCACTACAAATGTCGACCAGTGCTATGACAATCTTCTAGAGATGATCCGTCCTCAGCGTCAAGCTCTCCTCACAGGTCCGCGCATAACCATTCACATTGGCAACACATCTGTCGCAAACATCTACAAGCGCTCCGCGATGGCTGCATCTTCTGTTTTGCACCGCCACTTCACCAACCACCCAGACTCATTAGAGTACCGGTTCTCGCGCGGCCAGATTCACCCTGGCGCTGTCCGTCTACTACTTATCAAGTGGATGCGTGAAGCTTGCAACGAATTCGAGGCTCATGCCGTACCATATCAGAAGACCTTTTTCGAGGATGTTGCTGTTCTACGTGCGGCTCGCTTGTTAGGTATGGAGAGGTACTGCCCGCATATCCTAGGTGCTTATATCACTTACCTCAAGAGTGAACTTCCAAGCTATGAAGAGATTGTTATCATTGAGCAGAATGCGACGTCAGACAAGGATCCACTATGGACTACCATGGTTAACCATCTCTGTCATGAACGCTTCAAAGGCCTCATCCCTGATGCAGATGATTTTGAGGAGTTCTTAGAGACGCATGATCGCCTCAAAACGGCAATGGAAACCGCTGATGCATTCTTTGCGGGCTATGCAAAGAGGCATGCGAATGCCGGCGAGAGCGAGCGCCGTCAGCGCCGTCAGCAGAATGAGGCCGAGAAACGTGCGCGCATTGAGCGGGAGAAGCGTGCGGTTCATTCTCTAAAAAAGAAACTGGGTGAGGCTGGCTCGGGTCTACTGACTGTCACAGCCGACGAGGCGGAGATGCTGCGTGGTCGTACCTACACGCCCTAACGGAATGAAAGTACTATGCCTGATTTTACTCCTGGGATGTGCCTCATGGAATTGCTCTCACGATTTTGCAGAGAGAAGAGAAGACGGGCAGAGGACCGGTCATGGTGTAATTAATTCGGAATCGGCATGGTCAATATTGGCTGTGAACCAGAAGTAGGCTAGTTCAAAGGATAAGTTGTCTTTCTTCTAAGTTTGCCTTGCCATTCTGTCGTCTTAAATATCAGCTATTGAAATGGGCGTTTAAAGCAGTCCCTCGCCTGCAAGTCGCAACAGTAAGCGTAACAAGATACAGAATTAAGATTTGTGCTAAGACGCTAGAGACCATGTGTCGCATTATATTGGCTGGAAGGGCGGGTGATTCTCCCAGGTTACGAATTAGCCGACCGGGTAGCGCGGACCCGACCCCTCATTGGCTCGGTGCTGGCTATACAGATATGTCGCATCATCGCAGCACCTCATTCCTCCTGCCTTACTTGCCATTGCGCTGCTTTTACCCTCTCAAAAAACTGCAATTCCTTTCTTTGATAATTTTTTTTTGCGACTTCGCGCCGCCAAAAACATAATGGTGACGACACGCTCACGCCCTCAAGGCGACTTCCCCATCGCGGAGCCATCGCCTACTAAGAAGACGCCACGATCGCGCAACTCGACCGCGTCGCCTGCGCCACCAGACTTCGGCGCGTCTTCATCTGGCGCAGCTTCTCTGGCCAAACGCGCAGTCTCGAATGCTTTCGACGAAATCAGCCCTCCTGCTCCCGCCGCAATTGACGAGCCAACATGGTGCCATACAGCCTCAAAAGTGACCCTCGTCTGGCTGTCTATATCATGGCCCCTCGTGCTTTGGGATGTTCTCTACATCCTGTTGCGCCCACACACCATGGCTGGAGGCAAGCTTCAATGGCCACTGTGGACACCCTATGAAACTTATGCGGCCATTGATTACGTATACGGATGGCCCGGATGGGAAAACCATGATGGATTCGGCGCAGCACAGGGCGTGCTCAATGCCATTGAACTCATTCTATACGGACTTTATGCCCTGATTGTATACAACCACGGTCAGCCCGCTGCTGGAGGTACTGGTGTGGAGGCGAGCAAGGACAAAGGCGGTTTCTTCGCCGGCGGTATCAAGGTGCGAGGCAAGTCCGGCAACCGTGCAGTCCTCATTGGCTTCACCGCTGCCGTAATGACGCTGAGCAAGACAATCTTGTATTGTATGTATACACAACTTGCGATTTAGGAAAATTTCATGTTAACAGAAACAGACTTCAATGAGTACTTTTCCGACTTCGCAAACATCCGTCACAATGACTGGTTTACGCTCATCTTTTTATACATTATTATGAAGTGAGTCGCTACTTTTCTACCCTGGATATCATCCTGTACATGACGCTAATTATGTCCACAGCGGCCTTTGGATTATTTTTCCTGCATACATGGTTACTGTATTTGGAACTGACATTATTACCGCTCTCGACTATGCTTCCGACCCGTCGTCCAAGAAGCGGGATTAGTTTTCAGCACAGCCGGTTTTGCGCCTGACATTTGATTCTTCGCCTTTTTCAGCACCTTGCGAGTGACTGTGAGGTTTCGACCATTGTGAATGAATCTTTGGCATGTGCTCGTCGTCTCTAGACACAGTAGTATCGTCAATAGGTGGAAAGAGCCCCTTTCAAACGCCATGATAAATGTCATCTCGTTCTGCGACAGTCTGTTGAAGCCTCGTGTGTATGGGAAAGACTGCATTGTCTTACATTGGCTAGTCACGTGTACTAAGATTACTCTGGTTGACAATCCCAAAGGCTCAACGGGCCATTGGTATCTGGCACAAGATCAAGGGGTGTTTTTTTCATGTCTAGTCTTCAGATTCTCTGCCGTCAGAACAGCTTTCGCATTCGTATTCAGGAAAATCCATCGAATAGGGCTTTAAGTCGCCTGAATGCGACAGTCATGCTACCACGAGTTTAATTTGAGGTATGGTATAGCTCCCACCAGTGTCTTCCACCAATGAATCAATTGCATGAAAAGTTTGCACATGCTGGGATGTAGTAATTGAGTGAAGTTATTTTCCTTCAATGAGTAGATCTCTCGCAGTACCTCTATTCTCATAACTCTCTATCCATTATTTCATTAATTATACTAACTTCATACTTAATACATTCACTCCACCCTTATCCGTCAACCCACTCACCCAATTCCTAATCCCCTGTATCCAGACACCCCCATCAGACTCTCCTTCCCACCCCATCCCCCGAACACCAACATAACAAACCTCACATCACACCACAACACCCCTTACCCCCACACATTCCCCCTTTCCCCTCTCCGCCCCTCTTAACACCCCGCCTCCTCCCATCCAACTCAGCCACACTCCCCGCCATACCGAACGGCCCCTCATTCCTCTCCACCACCGCCTTTTTCCGCTCCAACTCGTCGCGGCCCGGCGTGCTGAAGACGCTGCGGTGCGCGCGCGCAGTGTGGACGGAGATGTTGGAGGAAGCAGAGAGGGGTTTGCGCGGTAAGGGTGCAGTGGGCGCGGGACCGGGTGTTCTGGCGCGTTGGATTGCCGGGGCTGGTGCGGATGGCTGATGTGTTATATGAATTGGTTGTTGATGTGAGTATGAGGGCTTTGGCGCGGCTTTTGCCTGGCTGCTGTGCTGCACTGCGCGTGTGCCGTGTTGGTGCTGTGTTTGCGCTGTAGTATGGATAGTAGGCTGTGGGTTTCTGACGCCGGGATTGGAAGTGTACCGGTTGCGGTTTGGGATGAGGATCGGGGCGGACTTGGTACGTGGGGGTGCGGCAGTGGTTCTGGAGCGCGGTTTGGAAGCGGATTGGGAGTGTACGGTTGGGGTTGGTGTGCCGAGAGGGAGGTATGCAAATCGCTTTTGTGATGCTGTCATTGGTGTGGGTGTATCAGGACAGGCGGCGAATATGTCCATGTCGTTTTGGTCATGGTGTTCGGTTTGCTTGCTTGCATCCTGCTTGATGACACCGCTTTCTTCGTTTTTGTCTTCTTTTCGATCTCTAATCGACATCCTACCCCGCAAAGATGTTGCTGGTGGCGTACTGTATGGTCTGCTTCTGTGACTCTTACTGTGATGTTTACGCTTGACGGGTGACTTTCTACCTGCCACTTCGCCGCCTCGCCGCAGTCCAGGCATGTTGGTGTCCACTTCTTCATGCTGAAAGCCTTGTCGTGCGTGCTTTGTCTCGGCGCGCTTTTGTAGAATCTCCATGCTCTTGGGTCGCATAAAGAGGTGCTCTGCCGCCCCTTGCGACGTTTGACTCGGCTTCTCTAACTTACTGCAACTCTTGCTCATGGGATTGCTCAAGTCATGCGGTGACGAAGGCGTGATGGCACGGATTGTCGGGCGACCAGATCCAGGGCAAGCAGGGCTCTGCGGTGCAGAAGTAGACGGACGCGGATGGAAATATGTAGACATGATGCCGTCGATCGTCGGATCTGAAAAAAAATATCAGAAACTTGTATATTGAGAGTTTTGTGGCAAAGCGTGCCGAATATCGGAATCAAAAGACTAAGCAGCTATGGGTTGGTTGCAAGGAGCATCCTACGTCCAATGGTATAAGAGCAAACGGAAGCGTTTGCGCGCAAGTTAGAACATGAGTGAATGCGGTGCCGGGACTGTCTTTTTGTAACCCTACTTTCTTATCTTTTTCTTGATTCAATGCGAATTGGCCTCATCTGCGTGAAGGTGTCTAAGCTTGTGTTATTCTCATCATTGCAGAAAAGTGATTTTCCAATGCTGTAGTCACCAATGGAACATGAATGGCAGCATTCCTACCAGTAAACTCAGCAAGGAATCTGTTGTATATGAAACTTGGAGGGTAAAGTTTTCTCCCGAAGAAAATTATAACACTGTTACACGGCATACGTCATTGTGTGGCTTCTCGCAGGACGTGGAGCGTGTATGTACGACGTGCGATAATTTATATGGCTTGCTAAGACTGTTCATATCGAAGCATACAATCTTTGCTAAAAGGGTTGTGTTTGTGACAGTTTCACCTGTAGGGAGTGCTCTGGATTTGCTTGGAACCACGAGTTTGGGCCACTAGGCATAACTGAAAGGTCGTGCAAACTTTGTTATTTTCTCAGCATGTAAATACATAAAACATGTGTCTGCTCCAGATTACGAGACACGTTCCATACCATGGACTCTCTTTACTTTTGAAACTAAATTTCAACGTCGATATATACCAACAAAACATATGCACATCCAGACTTGATATGTCAATCAAACACATCATCACCCAAATCACGTTTTCCTTCACATTATATCGGAATCTAGACCATCGATCTCCACGAATTATAAAAAAAGAAGTAGCACAAAACTCCTTCCAAACAACCATGACCTCTATCTTTGCAATACTCAAACCCACAACCAGCACCCCCTTATTACTCCAGATGAACACAGCTTTTTTTCCAAGCCCTCCCTTACATAACCAAACAACACATGCAATCACGCCCACCTTCCCCCGCATGTCCATCAAACTCCATATCGGGATAGACGCTCAGTATCTGTTCTCGATACTCATTTACCTCCCTCGATAGCCCTTCACCCGGATCCTCAACAGATGACGTGGTTTCCCGCACCAAATTTCTCGTCTCGTCCCGCGCCCTTCCTCTGCGTTCATTTCGCTGCTGGCGCTGCCGGCGCTGTAGTGCGAGGTCGTCGTAGGAGCCCCAGGGGGGTGGGCGTGGGCCATTTTGAACATATGTTGATGAATGCAAGGATGGCACAGGGTGTAGTCGCGAATGTGTCCGGTCTTGCCGGAGAGGTTCCATGCCGTCTTGATGAAGGCGTCTCTGAAAGGTGGTCTCTGGACTTCGAGGTGACAGTTGGGCATTTGGGGATTTGAGGTCTATGTCTTCGAATTGATCTGGGCTGCCAGCGGTGGCCTCGTCGAAGACTTCTTGGTAGTATCCTGGAGAGGTTTCGTCATCTCTTTGCTCGCGTATTTCATCTGCTGGGTTCATTTTTTGTGGTGGACATTGTACACATCCATGTTCGTTTGTCGATTCTGGTCGGTCTCGATTTTCATGCTTGACCTTTCCTAACGGTACTTGAGGCAAAGGACGATAAATTATGCCCAATGCTCTCCTATCCTCAGAAACCGGCTTACGTAGTATATTAGGTCTCGTCAAACGATCAAAGTTTTTGGATGGTTGCACCCGTGTAATTGCCGGGTCAAAGTCGTACGCTGTCACCTCATCTTCAGCTAGTAAGTAACTGCCGCATAGGTTGATAGGTTGTGTAATGTGATCTGAAGTTGCTGGCGAAGTGCTTCCAAGTAAATTCCTGTGGTTCATCCTTTGGTTTTGTTTCCTAGGGTAATACTCTGCTGGAACTGATAACGGAAAGTCGACTTGCTTGTCCGGACTGGATGTCGCAACTCGAGTGAGGGAGACTACTTGTTCAGAAGTGTCGCTAATTGAGGTTTGCGCACTCATATCGATCTGCTTTTGATAGACCTTCCTCACCCGTAACGGACTTGGGACAAGATCCTCTGGACTTGGCGGACGTGATGAAATCTCCGTGTCGCAGTATGCTTGGTATGGCCGAATTACTGGTGTATCGCGAAGCAGAGATAAAGCCTCATTCAGTGTAGTTTTGTTCGCATCATTTTGCATAAGTTGATTGTGGTCCATGGCTTAAGGGGTCTTGTGAAATGATAATAAAGACAAAGGGAATGGTAAAGGTTGTTGAACGGAGTTGATGTTACGATACACCCGAAGGTCAACACAGGGTCATTTATCTCTATGAGCGCGTATTACTACCATCAATGTTTCACTGATGTTCATGGTATGACTCGCCTATAGCATACTGTGTGATCAATATCGTTTCGAGGTGAACTGGAAGTGGGAGTGAAAGGAGGCCGTGAGGCCTGTGCGCCATGACCTCAGATGCCGAGCGTGAATTGGCAGTCTTGCACACCTTTCCTCAAACCCTGCTCAAATAGCCAGGTGAAGCCACCCCTGTATCCGCTCTCTCTGATACGCTTCAAAATCCAAAGTTCGAGCATACCGATTTTGTCACCACGTGTGTCTCTCCCCTCGAAAAATGTGAGTGCATCTTGGAACCCAACCTGCCAGCCATATTCGTACTTTTCGTGTTCATACTGCCCATTCGGATCTACGCCGGTCCAATATGCGACGTGTTGTTGAAGAGCGTTTTGAAATAGTCCTGCTCTTTCGTGTCGAGCCCTTTCAATCGCCTCATTCCTCTCATCAGCGGACATGGCAGTGTAATTTGGCGGTACAACACTTCCATCTTCTGTTTTAGCTTTGAACCCCCATTCACCACCCGGCATCCAGTCCATTTTCCAAGTCCAAAAGAAGCTACCACCAGCTCTCTCCTGATATCTCTTACTTTGCGCTTGACCAAACTGTTTCACGAGTTCCTCCTTTGGCACTTCACCACCCTTGGCCCATGAGTCCTCAGTCATGACGCATGAGTACTCGCCAACAATGGCCTGAGCTGCGCCGCGATCATGGACTGCGCCTTCTTTGCCGTCTAGCTCTCCCATTTTGGTACCAGCCTCTTGAATGATTTGCTGTGGAGACTTGGCTTTGTCGTTGTCTGTAAAGGCCCAATAATAGTGCGTATCAACGACGACTGGGCACTGCGGGTAAGAGTAGATTGAGTTCTTTTGGAGACACCAATCGATAGCTTTTGTGAAATTCCAGCCATCGGATATGATGACGGGCATTTCGGGATCAATGGCAGATATAGCGTGTATGCACTCATCGTACCACTCGTACATACGTTCACACTCCCACTCAGCCTCATTGACGAGCTGTATTCCAGCAATTTCCGCCCCAGCTTTTGTGTCCTCGGCGATGAACTGGCAGCAACGAACGCCTAGAGAGCGGTTGAAAGGGTTGCCCCAAAGTTCGGCACATCCACTGTTTGTCCCAGAATGCTCCTGCGCATTTGCGCCCCCTGGAAGGGCATGTAGATCGATCAGAACTCCAATGGAGCGCTTTCGTAACCTTTGAATGAGATTGCGAATGCTGTCCCATGCTCCAGTATAGATATCGGCGTAAGGTTCAAAGGGCGTGCCTTGTGTGAAGACTGCACCAGGCAAGTCGTAGTAGCCGATGGGTAAACGGACGGTAGTACATTTGGCTACATTAGCGAGCCATCCGATGGCATTTTCGGAAACGACATTGGCCCAATGCTCCTCAAACTTGTTTCTCGTCTCATCGATGCCGATCCTGTCAACCCATGCCTTGACTGCTGCAAGCTCACTGGAGCCTTCTGCGCCTTCAGGAAAGCGAGAGTGCTGGAGCCAACGCTCGATGACATAGACAGATCCAAGGTTTGTGCCATGGTGGTAGCGATAACGGAGGATGTCTAGTGGGGTAGGATCAGTGATGCCCTGCTTTTGATTACCCGCCCCATGCCCATTGAAGTGCTGCGCAGGGGGACAATGTGTCTGCTGTTGGTAATGTGAATTACTAGAATCGGCATCGTTCTGGGTCAGGTTTTTGAGCTCGGACTTGGCTTTCTGTAGGAAACCTCTCATTGTGAAAAAATGGAGCAATTTTTAGATAGCATGCACACCAGGATGATCAAGCCTGCTCTGCTCCAGTAAGACGATTGCAGCAGCGGTAGGCTTTGTATTGGGACGCAGAGTATCAGACACTTTCTGACAGAAGAGTCAGTTGAATAAATGTGTCGGTCTGGTATGAAAGTGCATGGAACCGAGACATGGTGGTGCCGAGTAACCGGGTTGGTGTGGTGGAGATGACGTAAGGTGGAGAGTTGGAGACCCGTAGGCTGGCGCGTTCTACATGTGCAGGTGCATTGGGACTACTAAGAGGCCTATCTTATCGCGAAGGGCCATTGTTCGGCAAGTTATCCCCCCTGTTACTCTGATGTGGGGATAGACTACCTTTTGCTTGGCTGACCCTATATCTTGGAATCATGTCTAGACATTCTTTCGCTTGCGAGACTGATCAGATCTGAAAGCAAGTGCCCATAGTAGGACTGGTCCTATGTAGGCATCTGATGGCCGAATGGTTGGTTGCATGTTTCAGGTATTACTCAGGATTAGCTTTGGGACCATAGTAGCACCGTCGGGGACGACCCAATCCAGCATTTTGTTCTTGCGATCAACAACTGTGTGGAGCTTTGTCTACAAAAACAGGACTGCGTTAACGAACACACAATGAGGAGGGAGATGGTGATGAAGATAAAGCGAAGACACGAGAGAGAGAGTTAGGCCAGGCTGCAATCCCGCCAAGCTGGACTGGACCCTGACGTGCCCCCCTCCCCAACCGCGTCGGCTCGTGTCCGTGATATGCCCTCCCCAACCCCGACGCGCCTACTACCGCACTACCATCTGGAAACGCATTGTTTGTTTTCATCCATTTCTATCGGTGGCTGGGATATAGTACAAGCTGTCCCTCAGTCACATCCAATCGTCCCAGTCAGACCATTATCTTGCAACCCCACGCGTCATCTCTATCAACGCGTCGCAGGATACCGAAGACTGCAGCAGCAACAGCATGAGCGCCACAACGCCACACAGACCGACCATGGCCGCTTACCACACGCCTTCGCAGACACCTTCGCGACGTGTGCTGGGCAATATCACTCCAAAGGCCTTGAATACGCCTCAGACCCAGACAAAGACATATGAATTATCCCAAGCCCCGCGAGCCGAAAGCCCATTGAAGCACGTTACCCCAAACACGCCAGCCCACTTTGTCGACAAAGAGAACCTGACAACGCCCAATGCGACCGTCAGGAGCAAGAAGCGGGGCATAGAAGAAGTCGAAGGTGCCGAGATGGCTGGAAGTGCAAAGATGCTTGCTCACGCACGCGACGACAGCCCCTCAAACACCGGTGTGCGCTTAACTGCCGACGCGATCCAAAAACACACTGTCAGTACCCTGTGCTCAGCGCCTCTTCATGTAACTGACAATTCCTATAGGAAAACAACCCAATTGGACTCGCAGATCCCGGATCGCCTACCGAACGCGCCACGCCCTCACCTTCACCCGAGCCTGAGCCTGAACTAATCCAAGCATCTCAAAAGAGCAACCAGTCCTTCTCCGACTTTCTCAACTATGAAATGTGCGCCAGCCAAAAGAGCGACCCAGGCAGAGAGCAAGAACGTCCAGCTGCATTAGCGTCTGCCCCACCAGTTGCAGAGTCAAAAACCAAGTCACGGGCGGAACAGTTGCGCACGCGCCTCAAGTTTGGCCTGTACAAGGTCAAGACAAATCAGGTCAACAAGCGTGACGTGGATATCATTGCCCCATACGAGGCCAGCGCGCTGTATTCATCCAACACGATCAACGCGTCGAGGTCAACAGCCACGACATACTCTAGCGAATCTCAAGGCACTTGCCGAGTTCCCAACATTACCATATCCTCTCCCCAACGCGACCAAGGACCAGTCTTTGTGAAAGCGAATCTCGACCCGTTTCGACCCATTAGCAAACTCGGGCCCGCTCCAGTTCAATTTGCACTGCCTGCTGGTGGTATGAATTCGTCGCGTACTTTGCAACAATATGACATCACCTCCTCACCTCCCGCTGTTGAGCTGCCTAAATCCGCTACACCCGAACAACTCGTGTCGCCGGCTCGAAACGGAGACCACTACCAGATGAATGCTGGATCAGGGATGCGAAATGACGAGTATAGGGCAGGGGAGTCTGCACGAGAAAGATTGCAGCGTCTGAAGCAGCAACAATATGTGGGAGATAGCCTGTCAAATAGTATTGGGGTACAAGGCGATGCTGCGGAAGGACTCTTACAGCTTATGCAGCATTCCCGATAGTAATGGCAAGAATCATACCTTAAAAGATGAGATAATCAGTTCACGTGGTTTCCTTCGCGTTTACCTCGCGACATCCACTTGTTATGAATAACGACCAGTAATACCAAGATATTCTTCCAACCTGGATCTCCCATATCCACTCATATCCTGTGATTAACATGATGACATCGCCTTGGCGAAACCCAAGTTTGTTGACATGCACGAACGCACCTTAGCGTTACAAGTCCCCATATGTAATCATTCCCGAAAACCACATTACGAAACAGGTAATTATCAGTATATGCACATACACAATAAAACAAGGAAGTCTGATCCAAGAAAACCCCAGTTCTTGTTGGGCCCTGCCAGGTCACATACATACGCATGCAACATGTAGTTCCTTCCGATAAACATCCATGATCCAACAATGACGTCGCACATGGCCCTCACAAAAAAAAGTTCAATGAAGAAAAAGAAACAAAACATGGGAAAGTGAAACAAGCGTAATGCGAGGTTATCGCTCGACCCAACGACCTTGGATATGGGAATTCGGGGCAAAGACTTGCCAAGAAAAAGAAATAACAATTCTCAATGGCAAGTGCGAAATCGATGTACTACATTGGAATTGAGTAGTGATATGTTCACCATGAAGCAATGCACCCCCCTCCCCCCTTCCCCTTCTCTCTCCTTCCCTCATTCATCCAGCGTAACAAAGACATGACAAGATCAAAAACCCTTATAACACAAAGTACATATACATATACAAGCAAAATCCCTCCCCGATATTACATCCCCCTTCCAATCCACTAGCATACTCAGTCCCAGGCACACACGCACACAAGCTACATACGTACATACATGCACGCAGTGCGCACT